TATTATTATTATTAGAATGCCGGTTTCGAAGAAACGGCATTCTATAGTTTTCGCCTTTTTCTTATTTTTATTATTCCGCGCAAGATTTCTCCGCACACACCGACATGTCAGCTAATTAGCATATACCATCAACCTTGACATGTTCCTGGGCTACAGGGAAATGCCTTCATTTTTTTAATTAGCCCCTCCCTAATTAGCCAAGGTCAAATCGCAAATTTTTACATTTTTGCACGTACAAGGAGTAACCATTTTTATTTTTTACCCAAAATTTGCATATGCCATCCCTCACAATTGCCATTTCACATATATTCCGGGTTTTAAAATTGGGTGCCCCAAATTTGAAAAATGGGGCACCCCAGTGGGGCAAAATTTGAAAACTGTGTATCCGATCCCAATTCTGAGCAGATATAAAGAATAGAAGCCCCTGATTCCAAATATGCTTTCGGTTTTGGAATCCGACCTCTGAGTGACCTTGAAAAGGTCAACAAGTTCAAAAATCAAAATCGCTCAAATTGATTCCAAATTGGTACCATTGTATTACACTGTACTCGGATAGAGTAAATTAGGTCACCATTTTGACCTTGACCTTTGACATTGACCTTCAAATGACCTCAAAGTTGAAAACTAAGATTTTCATTCCAATTCTTTGCAAGTATGAAGTATGGATGTCCCTGATTCTAAATATGCTTGTGGTTTTGGAATTTGACATCCGGGTGACCTTGAAAAGGTCAAAAAGGTTAAATTGCTAAAATTGCTCAAATTGATTCGAAATTGGTACCATTGTATTACACTGTACTAAACTAGAGTAAATTAGGTCAACATTTTGACCTTGATCTTTGACCTTCACCGTAAAATGACGTAAAACTTATTTCTTGTTTTACCTGTTCAAGGAGCCACTGTAGTTATTTTTTGCATGCCTTACTCTTCCCATTTAACATATCTCTATGGCAAAATATGATATCAAATATGCTTTCGGTTTTGGAATTTGACCTCTGCGTGACCTTGAAAAAGGTCAATTGTGCACCGAATTTGCTGCTGCGGCGAGGAACGGCATTCTACGAAATCGCCCCCGTGGCGATTTTAAATGTCTAGTTATTATTCTTCATTCTTTCTTTCTTCCTCCTAACAGATTTTCTCTCCAACTATAACATCTTACTTAATCCAACCTACATGGTTGACTAGGGAATGTATATGGCTTTCTGGGAAATTAGGTCAAATTTCTATCTAGGTCATAGGTCAAGAACTAGGTCAAATCTTGGATTTTCACTAATTCACCACTTTTCTCAGTCGTCTTTCAATATTTTTGCTCCGGTTTTTTTTCATCATGTTCCTTGGAAAAAACGCTAATTCCGTAAGGCAAATCGTTTTTTGATTACTCTTACAGATTTTGAGATATTGCGTCCGAAAAGTAGGTCAGAACAAAAAACTCTCCAAATTCAACATGTGAGTTAGGGGCGGGGTCAAAATATCGATGTTCATATGGAGACGAAAGTACTTTCGCGAGGGGGGAGGGGGTTTTTGGGCACTTTCGTTGACCAAAAAACATCGATAATTCGGATCTGATATACAAAAAATAATTGCACTTACCCACTTTTTCTGGCACTATGTTCTGATAAAAAGGCTTGTTTTCAATAGTTCGTGAGCTTTTTTGTGTGATAGGTCCAAAATATCGGTAGATAAAGACGATAATTCGATCATTTTTCAAATAAATTCCGTACTTTTCCCTCCTCCTTTTGAAGAGTTCAATGCAGTTAAATTGCGAACGTGTGTTAATTCACCGTAATAATAACCCGGCAAATAGGATACTATTATGCCTCTCAAAATCAATGTTTTTTTGAAGTGACCTAAGCTTTCGTCTAGAGGGGGGTGGGGGGGTTGTTGTCCAAACGAAATTACTTTCGTCTCCATATGAACATTGATATTTTGACCCCGCCCCTTATGAAATAAGTGTAGAATGATCTCAGGAATCCAAATCTGCAAACCAAAATTGGATCGGACTTCCAGTTCGGAAGTTATGGCGTTTTGAAAGCTCAAAAATCGCTAAATTTGGTGCCTATGTTAAGTCAATGGGAAAAAAGACTTTTTCGAAGTGTAAAATACAAGATATAGACTGAGTACAGCTTAACATAATGAATGCTTATAAAAGAAGGGGACCTCAAAAGCTACATAGCTTCAAAATTTGAACACCAAAATGCCTAGGTCAAAATCTAGGTCAAATTCATAGTTTTTCCTTATTTTTACGATTCTGACACTACACTTTAATAATTTACTTCATAATTTTGTATAGAGGTAGCAAAGAGTGTGCTAATAGTGTTAGCCTTTTGCCGTCAGAAAGTATTTTGACCCACTTTTGAGATATGGTGTCCGAAAAGTAGGTCAAAATAAAAAGTTCCCCAAATTTAACATATGAGCTATGAATTAAGGGTAGAATTTTCCAAGAAATCCGAATCTGCAAACCAAATTTCAATCCGACTATCGGTGCGGAAGTTATGGCGTTTTGAAAGCTCAAAAATCGCTAAATTTGGTGCCCCATGTTATGTCAATGAGAAAAAAGATTTGAAGTCTAAAATACCAGATATAAACTGAGTACAGCTTAACATTCTGAAAGCCTATAAAAGAAGGGGACCTCGAAGGCTATCTAGCTTTAAAATTTGGACACCAAAATGCCTAGGTCAAAATCTAGGTCAAATTCATAGTTTTTCCTTATTTTTGCGATTCTGACATTACACTTTAATGATTTGCTTCGAAGTTTTGTATACAGGTAGCAAAGAGTGTGCTTATAGTGTTAGCCTTCTGCCGTCAGAAAGTATTTTGACCCACTTTTGAGATATGGTGTCTGAAAAGTAGGTCAAAATAAAAAGTTCTCCAAATTTAACGTATGAGTTAAAAATTAAGGGTAGAATTTTCTCAGGAATCAGAATCTTTAAACTAAATTTCGATCCAACTTCTGATTAGATAGTTATAGCGGTTTGAAGTCTCGAAAAGTCGATATGATGATATCCCCATGTTAAGCCGATGGAGTCGAAGATATCATTCTTAAGAGTTGTCTAAATGTCTATATTCTAGCTGACTCAGCTTATTCTGGATGACTCAGCTTACAAGTTCTGGATGACTCTGCTTAAAAAAAGTTTGAAATCTGGAGTCTTAAATTGAACTTGTTCAATTTACATGTCTAGTTATAATTGTATTACAATATCAAACAAAGCTTGAATTAGTTTTTAGAAAACAATTTTGAGCTATTTAAGCTGCCATCTTTTGCTGGAAGCTACAAATATAAGATACGTGAGACTTAAAAATGACTAAAATTGCATATTTTTTTTCCTATTAATTGCAATATTTCTGAGACTAATAGAGCTATCCGCCTATAACTTTAGGATATTATTCATCTTTGGACTAGTAATGTGTGCTGTAGAAAGCAGAACAATACCAACTATATCCTTTATGTTATGAAATAGTCTTATAGTACCCCCTGAAATCGCAGGAATTGAAGTCCAATTCAGCCGTGAAAATTGTTTTTACCACTTTAAAGGCCATCACCTTATATTTTCTTACACCTACTAGGTTACTCTAACATACTGCATTGCCAAAAGTTACTTCTTGCAAACTTCCAGCAAAACTGTGCCAGCATCTGATACATTCCGATAGAATGTGGCAATAACATTTAATAATGCATGTTTTTGATGAAGATGCAAGAATAACCTTTGTAAAATATTTTGGAAAATATTAGAAGTGCTTTAACCCACACAGGCTGAGATTGGGGTCATTAAGTTTAGCAAGGGTGCATTGACTTATCATAGGTATATGCACCATTGACTGAGGATATCTTCATATCCTGATATATCATCATTGGAGTAACATAAAATCCCTGAAATCAGAACACTAGTCCCTTGAGTCACAACGAGGAAATTATGTTTCTAGGTTTATGTAAAAGTTGATATATGATAAAGGAACTAGAAAAATAGCAACTCCAAGGAGTATCAAATTCCACCAAATAAAATATATTTTGATAATAAGTGGCCATCTTGAAAATTTCTTCTTGAGTTCTCAAAGATTATGTTTTTTTCCGGAAAATGATGGCCATTTTGAAATTCAACTTCTATCTTGAAAATTTCTTTTTAACAGACCTCTTGTGTCCCTAGATAGCTAAATCTGTCACATATGTGTGCATCATGTTATTTACTAGGAGGATTAAATTTGGAGATAATAGCAATGGACAAATAACAAATTCAGCACAACCAAAACCATGTCCACATTTATGACTAATCCAAGATGACTGTCCACAAATCCCATCCACAATAAAGTTCAAAGTTTAAGCCTCTTGACATACCAACTCATTTCTTGTATACTTTATATTTGTTGTAGGCTTGTGATCCCCTGAAGCTCAGAACAGAAATATTGACTTTAGTTGAATAAAACGTATCCTATGGATTTTATTGCATTTTGAAGGGCTGCCCTACTTTAGTTAACTACTGTTAGTCTGAGAGTGAAAATTATGTCATGTTTCACCCCTTGTAACTGCTACCTTTCGGGCAAATGTGTTGTTAATATATATATTTCCACATCAAAACCATTCATTTTATGTTAATTTTTCAGAAAATTGCTTTTGCCAAAATTAAAATATATATTCAGCTTGTTAATAACAATACTCAAAGAACTGATTTGTGAGTTTTTCAAAGTCAAAGAAGGGCCTCTTACTGGCAAGTCCCCTTTTATATGCTGATGCCTTGGGACAAAAGAGCTTTGCCCAAGAAGAGATTTTCAAGCTGGCAATTGAATTTCAAAATGGCCACCATTTATCATAAACATGTAGTCTTTGATAACTCAAATACCAGACATCGAACCTCGTTCGATGGTTTAAAAATACCAAATTTTATTATAAGGGTTGACAGGTATCCAAAAAGAACCCATATTGGAAAGCAAAATATCACTAAGAAAACCTTTCTTACATTGCTACATGTACATCTAAAAGTGACATAAACTATGTATTTGTTTCATTTTAGCTTTTAAAACCCATATCGCCAATGTCAATCAAAAGCCTTTCATATGAAGAGATCAAACATTTATATGTCAAAGAAAAACTTCAAGCTCTTCATAAACAGGAAGCAGAATCGACTAAGCGGTTAAAGAAAATAAGAATGATTAATAAAAAAGATAAGGACCATTACAAAAAAGTAGAAGAGGAAAAAAAAGAATGGAAGAAACATAAAGAGGAACATATCAAAAGTCTGAGGGAAATAGGTAACATTCATTGTGAAATGGCTAAGCTTGGAGACCAATTAGAATTTTTAAAGGCAATAGCCATTTATGAATGTGGATTGGTCCACTGTCAGGAAGAAGAAATGGGAGACAACCAGAATATGAAGGATGAACTATCAAAGCTGCTTAAAAATGATAAAAGGGAAGCACTGAAATGTTTTTTTCAGAAATGTAGGAAAGATGTGTCAAGAAGTACCCTGGAACACATGCTGCAGGGATTTTTGGATGATGAAAAAGCAAACGAAAAGAAGCTAAAAGATATCAGAGATGAATTAAAAGAGAAGATTAAGTCAATGGATACAGAAACAGACAAATACAACTTTTATAGTTTTACAGCAGATGAAGAGAGAGTAAAACGAGAGAAAGCAAGAATAGAAAAAAATGGCGAAATATTCAAATGGATCAAAGATAAAATGAAAGAGTTTGTAAATGTTCTATTAACCCAATGTCTCAAGACACTAAACCTGTGTGGTCATAATTCTCAAAAGCTTGACTTTGCTTTCATAGCATTTGGTTCCCTCTCCAGAGAAGAAACAACACCATATTCAGATGTGGAGTTTGCAGTAGTTCAGGATTCAGAAGAAGATAAAATTACACAAGAAGACAAAACAACATTACAGAACATAGTTATGACTCTCCATATTAAATTCCTTTCATTTGGTGAAACAATTCTCCCAGCTATGGACATAGCTTCGTTGAATGAGAGTGACAAGAATGACGACAAGGACTGGTACTTTGATTTCAGAAAATATACAAAAACAAAGCAAGGAATTTCATTTGACGGGATAATGCCCAGAGCGAACAAAACACCTTATTTTGAGTGCCAAACAGAAACAGAAAGCACAAAATTTTGCTCAATAAACACAAGAGCTGCATTTGAAATCCTCTTCAAGAAAATGAATCCTGGTAAAACAATGGAAAAACTGCTGTATTTCTTCAAAGGGGATTTTACAACACTGTGTGGCAACAAGTCCATTGCAGACAAAATGAAGAAGTGTTTTATGGAATTCTCACAGAGGGACAACATTTTAGAGCTGATAGAGGATGAACTGAATGAAGACTTTGTGAAACACTCCTGCATTAAAAAGATATATGATGCCAAGTACAATAAAAAGCTCATAAAAAAGAATGAAATCCATGTGAAAAAGGAACTATATCGTCTTCCCAGTGTTGTTATTAACAACCTCCTGCACCTACTGAAAAGTGACACTACTTGTGTATGGGATATTAAGGAAATTGAAGGAATAGACAGTGAAGTCATTCATAATTTACAGATGACATTATCAACGGCTGCTGAAATACGGTTAAGAAGCTATGCAAAAAACAATGGTCAAGTAGATGAAGATAAAGATCATCTATTACCAGACATCCTTGTAGGGGATAAAATCGAGAACAAAGATGATGCCTTTAGCAAGGAACTCATCCTCCGCTACTTCTTAACAGCCATCCCATTAGTACATGCCATAGAAGAAGGAAAACATGAAAAGAAGGGAGTTGAAGAAGTACTCAAGGGAAAGCCATGTCTCTATGATCCATCAGATCTGAACAAAGCAATGGCCTACCTACTTATGAATGACATCAACAAGGCTAAAGAATGGATGAAAAAAGCAAACAAAAGGTTATACGATGGTACTGTTGAAGCCTCGCCAACACAAGGCATACTGTATATTTTGTGTAACAGGCACATCGATGATAAAGATATGTGTGAAGAATTCTTTAAGAAAATGACAAGCAAAGTGCATGAAGAAAGTAATGAGCCAAAAGTTGAACCTGAAGTGGGAAAATTAAGGGAGGATTCTTTGGTTGAACTCAAATCTAATGCAGATTTTATGAATACATTAGGGAATGTCTTACTTCAATATGACAAAGTTCCAGAAGCAACAAAACTACTTGAAAAATGTAAAGAGGAATCTCCCAAAGGTGAAGAGAAAATAATGACATTAAAACTCCTGGATGATGCATATGAACAAGGTGGTGAAAAGACAAAGCAAAGAGAACTTAATGAGGAGCACCCAGAAATAAAACTGGTAAGGACATGCAAACTATATTTTATAATAAAAAATAATAGTATATACAACTAAAATATAAATAACCTTTCAGAACATAGCAGGGGGAGAGGTTTCCCAGAGATGAATGTTTGTAATGGCACATTTGATAACCAATTTTACAATCCGGCCTCACTTGCCACTGAAATTGATCTCAGAATGTTCACTGTTGTCTTATGATTATTCTCTGCAAGTTTGGATGGCGTAACTTAAATAGTATTACCATACTATAGAAATTATGGAGTTGAACTGAAATAATCACCATTTCCTTGCCACTTCCATGGTTTCAAATTTTACTTTGCGCATGCGTGGCTCTGAGAAAACATGTGATTGTTCACATGATCTGATGGGTATGATTTCAATAAATCATGTGAATGAATACAAGAGAATACAAAAGAATGATGGCAGCTACTCACTTCTTCTGGTAACAGGTCAATATGCTGGGTGTTATTTAAGAAATATAGACCAAAGAGTAGGGGTAATATTGTCGAATACACCCTGCAGAGCTAGGCACAAACATTTTGTGTCAATTATTCTATAAAACCTAATTATTGTATAATGAGTTATTCTGCACAGCGTGTACTTAATCAGCTCTTTTAACAATTGTTAAATAGGTATTGTATTTATAGTTTTACCCTTTTCTCACTTCATACATTTTTATAGGTTCAGAAATTCACCACTCAGCTTCAAGAATTACAAGAATTGCAGAACAAAGCAGAAGAACAGGTAAATTTAATAACTGGTAAATGGGTCTACCTCATAATTGCACAAATATTTCAGTGGGTTTAAAATTGCAAAATTGGTAAAAAACGGTGATTTAATGGTAATTAATGGACAAAACAATACAATGGGACTATTTACGAAATAAATAAAGGATATAAAAGAGTGGATGAATCAATATTTTAAATCAGATTGAATACATTAAGGGCTTGTTAACATATAAAATACAAATATTAAGCAAGAAAGTGAAATTATGTATTCTACATTGATGTTAAATTATAATTTCAATAGAAAAGGAATTCAGATGCTTTTGTATTATTAAATTATACCCTAGATTGACAAGAAGGAGAAGGAGAAAATGCAAGTTGAAGCTGACCTCTTAAAAGCACAACAAAAGATTGGTGAATTGGAAATTATGGTAATGACATAAAAACATCAGAAAAGATGAGACACAATAAAGTCCAAGTTCAATAGCAATTAGTAAAGGAAACAGTCATTCAAAAATTAAGTCCCCTAGTGTATCAGCTCTTACCCTTAAGGTATTAGCCTTGTAACTTGTAAGGTATGCAGAAGATTTTGGACATAACATATGGTAAGATCAATGTGTTTAGTAGTTATTTTTTTGCCTTCAGATAAGAGATCAAGCTGCCAATATTGAAAAGCAAGCTGACAACATTGAAAAACTGAAGAAAGCATCTGAAGAGGTACATATAACAAATCTACATATATAGAGGTTATTTAATGGGAGGTTTTTTAAACAGGGTATACATGAAGGAAATACATATCTATTTCATTTAATTACAATTTATCGTACACTTATTAGTAGATTATGAAGATCAAATTAAGCATATTTTATCTAAAGTTTATCTATATTAATTTAAAGTTCTTAATAGTTCTTTATTGTTAAACATCTTTAACATAAAAAATTCCCAGTGATTGCTATTGAGTGGGTGATTATATCTCCCACTCACCTCAGAAATCAGTTATATTCCCATATGTCATTCACCTATAACACTGCTAAGTATGGGATAAATAGAGATTATCCTATATGAGGTTCAGGATATTTGGATATTTGGCCAATATAATATATCTACCCTCAGGACCTTTGGCACTCAGAAAATTTCCAACTAACTGTGGAATTATTTTAGAATATTCATGTCCAGTTTTGTTTTCTTGGCCGTTGTCGGATTTCCTTCCCAAATTTTCTTTCAGATATTCATCCACATTTATTTTCTCGAATCTTTGATTATTAACAGGGATACGTACGCTCCTTCCTTTCTTTAAACCATCAAATAGATCGCGATTTTCTATGTTTTTCTCCATTGTTTACAATTATGCGAATGTTACAAAAAATGATTATGATGTAGCGGGCAGATACACTATATCTGCCCGCTAACAGCAGGACGTAATGCTATATCTGCCCCCTGATGAAAACATGTTTTTACAAACCTGCTTTATGTACCTATAACACCTCAAAGTATGGGATAGTCTAGGCACATAATTAAGAGAAATCCATAGCGAATAGGGAGCAGGATGGATAGTTCCGTAACCTATGTCAACAAGGTCAAGGACATACAATATCACTGCTCCAGCAACAGTGAAAAATATTGAAATATTTCAAATTAAAAGTTTTAAAATCAATATTATAAAAATCATTTTGGAAGTTAGAATGTAAACTATATTGATTCATACCTTCATTACATGGCGGCCATTTTGGATTTTTTAAATATTTGATTGGGTCATGAAACAAAATCGTCCTAATGTGCCAAAATTCAAGAGAATTCTGATGGTATTTCCCAAATCAAGGCTGTACATTGCACAATATGAAATTCTTACATATTTTTCTTTAGGTCAGTCCAGCACATTTGGACGCCATAACAAGATATGTGAGGACCTTGAGCAGACAATATAGTGAGAAATAGAACACTAGAGGATGGACTATAACATAAATAAATAGATATGTGAGGACCTTGAGCAGACAATACAGTGAGAAATAGAACACTAGAGGATGGACTATAACATAAATAAATAGATATGTGAGGACCTTGAGCAGACAATACAGTGAGAAATAGAACACTAGAGGATGGACTATAACATAAATAAATAGATATGTGAGGACCTTGAGCAGACAATACAGTGAGAAATAGAACACTAGAGGATGGACTATAACATAAATAAATAGATATGTGAGGACCTTGAGCAGACAATACAGTGAGAAATAGAACACTAGAGGATGGACTATAACACAAGTATATAGGGAGATAAAACCATGTATTATTGTGCAAAACTTGAATAACTGAGTTGAAACAAACATTTGTTTGGAAACAGTATTTCAGAGAATCATTGACCGCGTGTGAAATCTAAATAAGAACCTGTACAGTGTTACAATTGCTTTAGCACAGTATGAACTGTTGAATATCAACACTGATTGAGTGTTCACATTTCAATGTGTTCTTTCTCTATGTTCTAGCTCTTTCTTACTTGTATTTACATGTGTTGCTTGTTTTAGTTGATCTTGGGAGGTCATGTTAGGCCTAAGTGTTAAAATATCTTCCTTTCTCTTGCAAATTTGTCCAGCAATTACCCAACCAAAGGGAAACAACATTTACAATAGTAAGTACACGTGGTCATGTATCATAGTATGTATATGTACCATGAACATCACAATAAAAGGTACAACCTGCCAATTAAAATCTATGAAAAATTGCAGTGCATACATGTATACTTTACTGACGACTCAGTGTCACACCAGCTTTATTTCTGTTTATGAAATGATTGTGTTTTTTTATTTGCTTAATTTTTGTATGAATTCTTCAGCATATTGTTGAAAACATTGAAGATGTCTGGTTTCAAACTATGTAACAAATATTACTCTTATCGAAACTAAATTGACATACATGTTTTCATAGGTAGTTTCATTCGTAGCTTTTGCAAAAGTTGAGGGGAACATATTAAAAAAAAGAATCTGCTGACATGATAAATTATCTTATGATTGGTAGAGACAGGATTCTTATATCAAAGTAACATTTTATATGTCATTTGAAGAATGTAATCCTATTTTCTTTACTTTATTGCTATTTTACTGTTAATGAAAATTGTATGTTGGATGTACGTTTGGCCCTAAAAGGGCATCAGTACAAATAAATCCTATTATATATAAGAAAACATTTTAGGTTTCTTCTTTAGAAGTAAATGGAGTATTTTGATGTAAATTTACTGGATTATACATGTAGTAATTCTATATATTCAGAAACCAGACATAATTTTCACTTAGAAGTAAAATTAATATCTGCATCATGTCATAAACATAAATGTAAACACATTAAGAAATAATACTCTGTAAATTGTACACTGTAGTCAAAATAAGAAACTGAGGAATCAAATTGAATCAATGCTTATAAATGTGGATGTTTGTGTTTCAATTTTAAATAAAATGTTTCTAATAAACTCTGAGAGATGCTTCAACTTTATGACTTACAATCTTGTAAATGTATGAACATTTAACACCATCTAGCAAATAGTAATTTGTCGAACAAAGGAATTCATTTGCAGCATGTAACAGGAGATATTCTCCAAGAACTCAAAAATGCATGCTGTTTTGAGCAATCTTGAAACTTTTTCTTTGAAAAATGCCTATTTTCCAGTTTCCAGATGCCTATTACATTTGATTTGCCTATTGTCAGAAACTCTTATGAATATCCTGCATCACATATTCTCTTTCCTTGATGCACAAGGCCATGTTATAAGTTCATTAATTTCACTGGCACAGCTACATGTATTTAATTACGCTGGATTTTAAGAAAAATAACCATGCATGTAAACTGCATATAGGCCATCAGCTTCACCCCAAAATTTAGGTTATCGGTACCAAGTTAGGGGAATAAGCCTCATTGTGATTTTGGCAAGGTAAATACCTCTAGAGTAAGAAATTATATGATAGCATTGCAGAAGTGGCAGCTAAATGGGTGTTATCACCCATTTTTCAAAATGGCCGCCGGTGCACTTACTACCAAATAAAAGAAGTTATATCTATTGCATACTGAGAGACAAAAACAGTAATTTTGAGGTCTATTTCAGGATTTTAGGGGTCAAGGATTTCATTTCAGTCGAAATCTAAGTCATCAAAGAATTGGAAATCCAAGATGGCCGCCAAAATGGATGTCAAAACAAATATGTCACTATTGATATAAGCTCAAAAAGCTCAAAGAACGGTTAAAAAGTGACTTTGGAGACCATGAAACGGTTTTAGAGGCTAGGGATTTTATTTGTGTCTAAATCTAAGTTATCAAAGAACTACTTTACATAGAAATCAAAAATAAATGGCCGCCAAAATGGATGCCAAAATGAATACGTAACTATTTATGTAAACTCAAAAAACGGTTGCTTTTGCAGACCATGGTAAGGTTTTAGAGGTTAAGGATTTCATACATGTGTAAATTGAAGTGATTAAAGAATACCTTTATATAGAAATCTAAAATGGCTGCCAAAATAGCTGCCAAAATAAATTTATATGCACATAGAAAAATTAGAATAGTTATGTTATAGATATCTGAGACTGGGTTTCAGGAGAAAATGGTTATCTTAACCTTTCCTCATATTAAAATCCAAAATGGTCACCAAACTGGCTGCCAAAATAAATTACCACATTCACATGGACCATGACTCAACCATCTAACCTATTTCCTTTATAGCCATCTTGAAGTTCACAGGCTGCAGACCTAGTTCTCTCAACATGATGTTCCGAGAAGAACATTGGACACCTCTAAAGCCTACATGCACTGGAAATGTCTCACATTCCACCCTTTACACCTTACTTTGTCAATGAGGTCTTCATACTCGGCGCTCTTCAGTCTATCCGAGATATTATCTTCTGTGTAATTGTAGACTTGGATTGAGTTTGTCCTTTCTTTACAGACCTACGGCCCTCAAACATGTGTATTTTTTGGCCTCGGGATAATCCCAATATCCTGAACCTCATATAGGATAATCTCTATGTACCAACTCCCTACATTGCTAAGGTCAATAGCTTTCATCCACTTTTCTAGTTCTCACAGATGCTGTTGTTGGGACCCATCAAAATATTTTGTCAAAATATATTCAATTCTCTCATCATGGATAGTATGAAAAATTGCACATTAGCTTCATTTGTTACCCTGCTCGCAGAGTCTAGTTAAACAAGAGATGAAGCTCTCTTTTCAGAAGCTAAGTCGAATGAATGCAAAGGGTATTCCTTTGTATACCACTCAGTTGAAAAGATTCCTGGGATTGCACTTGATACATCTCATCTTCTCCAAGCAGCTTAAAACCTGTTATGCTCCAGGGATTGACGAGGTCATAACATTAATGATGTCCATAAAGGCTCGGCAAGAAGGATGTCTTTCCCTTTGAGACCTCCATATTAGGACTCTTCTGCTTTCACAAACCAGTTCATTGTTTTGATGAAGAGAGTACAATTGAGATGGTTAATCACATCAGGGCCATCTTTGATATCCAAATGAATATGTTCCAAAATTAATTATTCATTTTGGTAGCCATTTTGGTTGCCATCCTGGATATCCAAATAAAAGAATTATTTGATGACTTAAAGTTCTCGACCATTGAAACCTAGACATGGTCTCCAAAATAACTTTGTAACTTTTCATTGAGCTTATATTAATGGTAACTTATTCATTTTGGCAACCACCTTGGATTTCCATATCAAGTTATTCTTTGAAAACTAAGACAATAAAATCATTGATCCCCAAACCCTTTCATGATTTACAAAACTACATTTTAGCTATTCTTTGAGCTTACATTAATAGTTACATGTTCGTTTCGGCACCCATATTGGCGGCCACTTTGGTTTTCTATGAAAAGTAATTATTTGATTACTTAGACTAAAATGAAGCATAAGTGAAATCATTAACCTCTAAACCCTTTCATGATCTATAAAATTGCTTTTTATCTGTTCTTTGAGCATGTATCCATACATGTAGTTACATATTCCTTTTGGCACCTATTTTGGCGGCCATCTTGGATTTACATATAAGGTAATCCTTTGATGACATAGATTTCGACATGAATAAAATCCTTAGACTTTAAAACCTCTTCTAAAATTCTTCAAAATCATTTTGAAACATTTTAGCTTGTATCATTAGTTACATATTTGTTTTTGAACCAAAATTGGTGGCCATCTTGGATTTTCATATGAATTTATGTTTTGATGACTTGGATATAGGCATAAATCGAATCAGTGACCCCTTAAACCCAGAATGAGACCCTAAAATTACTGATTTTGCCTCTCAGTATGCTTAGATATAACTTCTTTCATTTGGTAGCAAGCACACCGGCGGCCATTTTGAAAAATGGGTGATAACACCCATTTAGCTGCCACTTCTGCAATGCTATCACATATTTTCTTACTCTAGGGGTGTACACCTTGCCAAAAATCACCATGGCCATTATTCCCCTGATTTGGTACCGACCAACCCCCCAGGCTGATCGCCTAATAATCTTACTTTTGAATCACCAAATATCTTTTTTAACACATTCTGCTAATGTTTACACCTGACGTCAAAAGTAAACAAAAACCTTACAAACAAATGAAAAAGATAAAATATTTATAAAATAAATGAACAGGGCATTAACATGACAAAAGGTCACCACCTAGTTGCTCACAATATCATGAATTCAACCTAAACTCAGATTTGAACTTCTGAGAACTTGTAGATGATTTTGAAAAAACTAATTGGTCAATTTGACGCCAGTTGAAAATACCATTTTGACCTTGAGAAGGTCATTGAAGGTCAAATCTTTTTTTCACCTTGAGAATTTCATTGAAGGTCAAATCTATAGTCAGATTTGAACTTTTGAGAACTTGTTGATGATTCTGAAAAAAATAATTGGTCAATTTGAAGCATACCTTTTTGACCCTTTTTTACCCTGAAACATTGAAGGTCAAATCTCAAATCTAAAGTCAGATTTTAACTTCTGATAACTTGTAGACTAGATTATGTTTAAAAAAAAGTTGGTCAATTTGAAGCACTTTATCACCTTTTATTAACATTTTTTTGACCTTGACCAACCTTGAGAAGGTCATTGAAGATCAAATCTTAAATCTAAAGTCAGATTTGAACATCTGACAACTTGAATATGATTTTGAAAAAAATTGAAGTCAGTCTGAATAGTATTTGTTAAGTTATTGGAAGTTTTTAAGAATTTGTTACAGATGCCAACTGCTGATCGCCAACCACCAACTGCCAATTACAAACCACCTATCCCAAACCGCTGCCACAAAAAATGGAGACCATAACAATATGTCACCTCTTTTTGGTGGTGACATAACAACAACAATAGGAGAAACAAAAAAAACAAAACATTAAAATCTCACCTTTTCTTCTGACTTGATCTGTTCCTTGTCATACAAGCAGTGTTGCGATTGTTCTAAGGGGTCTGCGGTGACATCTATATGACCTTTGGATAGTTTTTTCACCAGATGGCGTGGCCAGTCAGTATAACAGAATAATGGCATTGTTGCTATCATAGTCCATGGGAACATACCTACAGCACATCAAGTTGAAAAGAAATTGTACCAGATTACTATATAAAATATTACATGCACATAAAACAGTGTTATGAAAGCTCAAATATATTTGAATCAACTCTGATTTTATAGTACAGGATACATTTTTATTTCATTTTTAGTATACTAATCTTTAAGAATATTTGTTGTCATATGAAAGGAAATGGGCAGCAAGTCCTCCAATAATTCATAAAAAAATTTAAAATGCAAATACACAGGACTGCCACACTTTTGGAGGGAGTGTACATGTTCAACAACAATAAAATTAACTTTGTGATAAACAAGTCTGGTTTACAATGAGTCAGATTATAACTTTCATAATTACAGGATTCTGTTCTATTAAAAGTGTAAACTGTGCAACTTTATATCTAATGTATCATCATAAACTCATTATTCATTCTCTCCCACCCATAAAACCTAATCAACCAAAGAATACAGAAATCACTCACCTATCGAAGCTAGTTGTGGAATCATAAAAGTAAAGTATATCAAAAAAAGCCTTCCAATTGTCATCATAAGCTCATTAACAATTCTCCCCCCCCCCCCCCCCCCCCGTAAAAAGCTAATCAACTAAAGAATACTAAGGGAGGGTGTCCAATTATCAACAGTAATGAAAAACAAAGGTAATTTTGCTATGGTTTGACACCCCCCCCCTCCAACCTTATCTGATGTAATTTCAAAATATTGTTTTTTTGGTCAATTAAATATTGAAAAAATCAACACACTTTGCTAATAAACCCATAATTTACCCCCTCCCATTAGGAACTAATTTCATGATTCCTGGAACATTGTTGATAACTGGACAACACCCCTTACACTCACCTATAGAAAAAAGCTGTGAATTCATTAAATGAAATGAGCCTCCGAATATGAAGCCGTATATCCTGGTTGCGTCAAAGAACAGGACAAATCCAATTGATATGTCAAGGAGGAAGCCGCCAATGTGGACTACAAACAAGTCAATCTGATCATCTGTCAAAACCAATCTGGAAAACAGATACGATAAAATATTAACCTGTCTGATCTGAGCTCTTGATGTGAACATGTTTTCTCATACAAAAGTTTCAGATTAGATAGGGTTTACTGTATTTGGCAGCAGCTAGGTCAAGATTTCTATTTGTTCCTTAATGCAAATAACTAAAAGTCAGATTGACCCCATACCTGCCCTCCTTCTCCAAAGAAAAGTTATTGCACATATTGATTTTTTACATTAAAAGGATTTCCCATTTAAAAAAAGATGTAGGCTGACAGAGTGTAAAAATAACATGGGTGTACAAACTTATATTAATCTTCTCTCTTAGCTATTGAGACAATTTTTACAATATGTACATTGTAACATTCTGATACTCATAGCATCTTTCTGTTTCACCTGAAACATGGCTCAGGGCTGAGAAGATTTGAGATGTCATGGTTTATCATGATGACATTGTAACATTTTAAACATGTGTCAAAATATGACAGTATTTGCCAATCAATGTGAACATATGATCAAATATTTTTACCTGAATGGTTCAAAGACCCAGTGCTTTGAGAGATGCACCATGGAATAACCTGCAACCCAATCAAACTCTGTCTTCTTAAGACCAGCAACAAAATATACCATGAACACCTGAAATTATGATAATTAATGTAATAAAGGCCTCTAGTATAAGCCAGTATAGGCTACAAAAAATGAACACTCTTTTGCCTGGAGATTTAGAAGAACACTAGAAATGGTCAATGGTAACAAAAAGAGGTTATTTGCTAGAAAATCAGAAGAACATAATGGTGACAAATTAAAGAGGTACCAAAGGATATGTTGAAAATTGAACGTAAATTTCATGATGAACATTCACTCAAATACTTGTATTTAATAAAAATGTTTAGACAACCCTTGGAGTATACAGATGGAGGTAGGGTTCTATGAAACAAGAGTACAATGTGTATAAGCGACATGGAAATTCTCTGAGAAAAAAAAAAGAAAAATGTGTCTGTGATACCTGATATGAAATCAATGAAAACCACAATTGAAAACAGGCATAGTGATCATAACATTGTATTTGACCTGTACATGAAATATCATATTGTTCCTCAGTATAAAACTCATATTCAATCCCTTCCAGTAAATAACCTCTATGTATTCCACCTGTACAATGAGTAGGAGTTTATTCAGTTTTGAGAATAATGTCAATGGCTTTATTGTAATATGATATACAATAAAGGTGATCACCAGGTCAAAATGACACAGAAATATAACAAAAGCAAACATGATCACTCAGATTAATTTGTTAATCATATCTAGATAAATGTTGAAAATACAACAAGTGAAGATTAATTTACACACATCCCTTGAAAGTATTAATAGCGTGTCTCATTTCCTGTTTTTCCTGTTATTTTGTGTTGACTGGTCTTTACTATAAATTGATCGATTCACCTGTGTCCTTAGGATTGTGTAGTTCCATAATGGGACATGGGAATGTCTCATTTTAGGCCATATAATTCCATCTATAGACCTGTCAAGCACAAAAGTATCATTAATCATATGAAGAAATTAAGGTTTCAGTCCAGTAAAACAGTTATCAGGCCCATAGCCAGGTTTGGGGGTCCGTATGCCCACCCCTGGCCAAAACTTCTGAGAATTTGTCATGTGATTTTGGGCCACATTTGTCAGAGTGAACCCTCCAGCAATTTGTTTTGAAAAGTGAACCCATCCCTTGGCAAAAGCTGGCTACAGGTCTGGTAATGAACCTGTTTGCCCAATATATATAGTTACTTTAATTAACATTTACAACTTTTACTCATTTTTGATATCATCCAAGTGAATGAAGGCTCTAAGCAGCTGTTACAGTTGTTTATGTTTTTAGATGTCATTTAAAATGATTTAAATGGATACAAATTAATGAAAAAATGTGTTGGTATGCTAGCAAAGGCATACATTGTAAGTGCAAAAAGTAATGATCAGAAAAAGAGGCCATATCAATATCTCTTCTTGGGGGTAACAACAAATCTCATTAGCAAATGGATGCGAAAAAGTTTAAATGTTACACAATAGCATTCATATTTTATCCCATTTATCCTGAAGTAAAAAACTATTGTATTGTATTCCATTAGAGAATCAATAAATGATCAATCTAATAGAAACATTTCTTGTATGACTTTGAGAATTATCAGTCTTAATAAATCAACTTCTGGCATGTATTAAACCTCATCATTATTTAGAGTGCAACATATTTTCATGAATAAGGATATTACAATGATTTACAAGTTAAGAAGGATCAAGAAGATTGAGTTTCAAACAAACAGGGTCATTAGGTATATGCACTTTTGTCATGTAAGACCTATGACAATTGTGATTTGATAGGCTTTCATACTTATATTAAGGCTCAGTGCCAATTCATGTTACATGTTCAGTCTACACACTCATTTTAATATTGGATATGGTTTACTATAAATTAATAACAAATAAAAATAATGGTACGCTGAAAAAATAATCAATTTTAGGGAGGGGGCCCTTTGCTATCAAACATCTACATTTAAACTACAAGTAAATGACACCTTACTGAAAAAAGAAACATTGTATATTGTGACCTGATTCATAAGTAAAGTCATCCATTCATGCATTACTGAAGATTAATGAATTGCAAAAGTTCTTGTAATTTTAACTCACCAGCATCTATTAGCATCCATGAAACAAAGAACGAATGCGAACAACCCAAACATGTAAGAATGGTTGTTCCAGGATGTCTTATCCAAAAAGAAGATATACCAATAGCATAACATGAAACCCACGCAGCAGATTCTGTACATGAAGCCTAGGAGGATACCTAGAGAACCTGAAAAACATGTAAGAATGGTTATTCCAGGATGTCTTATCCAAAAACAAGATATATACCAGTAGCATAGCATGAAACAAACACAGCAGATTCTGTACATGAAGCCTAGGAAGATACCTAGAGAACCTGAAAATACATGTAAGAATGGTTATTCCAGGATGTCTTGTCCAAAAAGAAGATATACCAGTAGCATAACATGAAACACACACTGCAGATTCTGTACATGAAGCCTAGGAGGATACCTAGAGAACCTGAAAATACATGTAAGAATGGTTGTTCCATGATGTCTTGTCCAAAAAGAAGATATACCAGTAGCATAGCATGAAACAAACACAGCAGATTCTGTACATGAAGCCTAGGAGGATACCTAGAGAACCTGAAAATACATGTAAGAATGGTTATTCCAGGATGTCTTGTCTAAAAAGAAGATATACCAGTAGCATAACATGAAACCCACACAGCAGATTCTGTACATGAAGCCTAGGAGGATACCTAGAGAACCTGAAAAAACGTAAACTGAATTTTTATTTTTCAGGTAATTGTCAATTACGTAGATATTTCCAGATTTGTAGGGAAGGCAAAAAAATACATATCATAGAAAGACCCACATGTAAGAATATGCCCTTCAATTTGGCCCACTCCCTAAGAATCCATTAACTTCCAGGCTAAAAAATAGGTTTGTAAAATAAAGTTTTTCTCACTTTTGCCATTTAACTAGAGACATATACAATGCCATTGGTATAACATATGATGTTAAATTAGGTTATTGTAGCGAGTATAAATCTTTTCTTTCTCTAAATATGATTTTTGTAGATTGAATTAGAATTGTAAAGTAAGAACAATTTAGTGACAAAAATATTGTCTCACTGGGATGTCAAGAGGTTATCAAAAGAAAGATGTTGGAAATGACGACAGATTGATATACACAATTATAGTCGTATACATCCTTCGTATTAAGGCATGTTAACTATAAACCTAATATCTCTGTGATATTGTGTATAATTACTCAAGGTGGAATGAAGTGAATTGTCGGTTTGAGTTAATTAATTTCCAAACAATTGTTCATATCAGAATCAAATCAATATCATGTTTAAAATAATTAAGCAAATAAGACTACACTTTTGCTATTTGTATATTTACTTTGTTATTCTTCCAGAATATTTTTTTCAAGAACATCACTTGTCTTATCTTGCACCTATGATTATCATGAAAGAATGGTTGGAATTACAAGATGGAGAATGTTGGCTGATGCCTACACTTACAATAAATGAGAGTCACGTAGTAAAAGGTGACACATCTGGTTGGTGTCTCACAAAACATTCATGCACCTTATTATATCAAGCTCACTAGACAATTTAGCAATTCAGTTTTAAAAATTAAGATTTGTATTAAAGTTCATGGTGCAAATTTCAATCATGTATGGTTTTTGAAATCAAGATTTCTAGATCATTGCCCTTTTTGGAATAATAACTCATAGAAAGGTGCAAAAATGAAATTCCTCAATGTCTCTACCATATGCAAATATGCTCTGAGCCAATTAACGTTAAATGATTAAGCATCCTATACTCTCATATTACAATGTCAATTAGAGCCATAGCAAATGTCAATCAACAGTTTGTAGAGCTCTTATAAATGCTTATCATGACTCATTTTTCAACATTCATGCATTGTCAGCATCCATATATAATATATATCCCTGCAGTATTCTATCCCAGTATTAGAACTAGGATTTAGCGCCCAGATGAAAAATCTGTTCCCCCTAAAATTATTAAAATAAGTTTGAAGGCATAATTGATATAATACCAAGCTTAAGCCTTAGAATCTCAGTAAAGTAAACTTCACGTCACAGTGACCTGAATAATTAATAAAAACTTTACTGAAAGTAGGTTGAGATCAGCGAGTAATACTTGGTAAATTTGAGTGACCTGAATACTCAGTATATTTTATAAAAAGGTATTCAAGTGACCTAAATACTGACTGAAAGTAGGTCACAGTGACCTGAAAATTTTATATCGTATCGTTTACTAAAGTATACCATGATCACTTGCATAATTCGACACACATTCTTTCCCACATTTCAACCTTGCAAAAATGTAATTTTCACATCCTACATTTTGCTTCTTCTAATGTTGGAAAGGGACTCAGGAACTATTGCATCAAAATTAAGAAAAAAGTCTCTGACATCTGTACTTACATGTAAACATTGTCAAATATACAATGTACATCCATTTCAGGGGGAGGGGGTGAAGGAAATTAAACAGCGGGAATCGGCACTCGTCAGGATCTCCCCACTGGACATCAGCATAGGACAATCCCCGCTCCATGATGACATCAAGACACATTAATGTCCCTAATAAATAATAATGTTAACATATAATTTCAATTAATCACAACCCTTAATCTAATTTAAGGTTCAGCTGGAAAGTAACATTTTGGTAAAAAATTGCTATACCTGCACATGTTATTTTCTGGTACATAATTAAGTATGAAGGCATGTCTGTATTTCCTTGCTTTTTTCAGGAAAACATCATTACACTGTCTACTTTTAGTAAACCTGGAAACAGGTCAATGGTAGCTCCTGTGTTGTCTGGAAACTTTGAAAGAAAATTTGGAAAAATAGAAAGTGTGAAATATCAGAATTACCTGGAGTTCCCATTGAACGCCTACCAGATATTCTAAAAGAAGACAATGTAAAGATACTTTCCTGAAAAAAGCAAGGAAATTGATACATGCCTTCATACTTTATTTTGTACCAGAAAAAACATGTGCAGGTATAGCAATTTTTTACCAAAATGTTATTTCCCAGCTGTACCTTAAGCAAACTGTTGGGGTCTTTCCGGAAAAGGTAGATGTATAAATGCCTTAAGATATATGACAGGGATATGACAGTCTTAATGACAGGGAATTAAAAAAAATATTCTAAAATCAGTTAATAAATGCAAAGGTAATAATGTAGTTTATACAAATTGTTAATAATAAATATAGTATTGTACTTATTTGATTTCCCTCAATTGCAATTTCCTTTCAACAAATGAAATAAAATTTGAATTGCTAGCTGAATAAACATAATCGTTTGTGCATTCCTGCATGGCTCTGTTCCTATAGGGAGACAATAGAACATCTGTACAAACTGAGCTATTTTATGAGCTAACGATTTAAGGGACTTGTACCTTATTTTTATAATAAACAAGTAGTGTGCCACAAAATTAATGGTAGTTATAACTTGAAAAATTCCAGTCATGGATCAATTTGAATATTGTTTATTTAATTCTATTTTAGAGCATAAATTCCATGTAACCGCCCTGTAAGTCATAATTGCTACAAATTATACCAATTTTAAATTGAGCCAATTTAAACAATCTTTTACCAATTTTCACACAATTGCTGAGGCAAATGCAGGTCAGTATTTTTAAATTTGAAATTTAGGGTGAGGTCTAAATGAGCCTCAAGAGCTCCCCCCGCACACCTCTGGCTGTTAGTTAAATTAAATCAGATTAATTTAAGCAATTTTCTGGGGATATGCTCTTGACTGAATTTGTCCTCATCTCTCAATTGAGAAGTGAAATGCCACATTCCTGAATATATACACGTAACGATGATATACGATGATATACAACACGAGCACATTGAATCCTTCATCAATTCTAATTAATATCATAGCATCACATATTAGTTACTACAACGGTATTTGAAATATTCTTTGATATATGTTTTTAAGCTATTCTTTACTTTAATATTAAACAGCCCAATTTCCAACAGATGATACAGGAGATGGGTACAGAAAAGGGTAAAATTACTTTTGACATCCAAAATGTGTCATGAAAAGATAATTGGAGATTCGATTTAATGGATTTTACAATTGTAATGTGCTAGTCATTATTCCTTTTTAAAATACCCTCCCCTTCTGTATAAATTCCTATTCTCTGTCTGAGAGAGATAATAGGGGGAGGGGGCTATTAACATTGGGGACTAATAAAAAACACTCTTCTGTTTAAGATAAGAAAGGTTGTTTCAAAATGCATATTTTTGAAAATGGCAACCATATACAGGTGCAATTTCAATGCAATTTTAAGATTTCATTTTTGTGGAAATTAATTCTAGAAATTGTTTATGCAGGACTTTTAACATTTTCGATGTGTTTTGTAACTGTCTTACCGTATAGTATCCTCATCACTGCCAAGGAGGCAGGGTCTCTGGGCTGATGCAAGAGTCGAACAAATGCATTCCATGACGTAAAATCAGAGATATCAAATCCGCATAGGTTTCGTAGCCAAGATGGTTGCGACGTCTTTGTTTCAGTATGGTTCTTTGCAGTGTCAGTTTTTGACCTTGCCATCTTCAAAACTAAAACATAATTATTAAAAACTATATGTCATAATTCACATCTTGAGACACTGGTTGATTTAAAGAAGTGTACTGCAATTTGAGACAGTCTTGCCTTTTTGGCAAAAAGGTACCTTCTTTGACAATTTTTCCATGTTTATTATTTTTTCCTCTCAGATTGGCAAGTTTCCATGGTTTATGCCCAAAGCCAAAATTGGCCGTGCTGCACATGTACCTACCCCAATTACTCAGAGTGACCCCCCCCCCCGGAAAATATATGCGTGGCTTTTTTTGACATTTGCCTTTTTTTGACATTTGCAAATGATATATGCTTCTATAGAACCTCTTCAAGACCAAAATGTAATAGAAGGTATTGGTACAAGATACATGTAATGAGCAGCGTAGGGAACAAAAATAAACCTCAACCATCAAAAAGTGTCACAATGAGCTAAATTCTAAAATCAAACAAACAAATCCCTACCAAATCGAACGAATGTTTTCATGAATCGCCATGTTTGTGATCCAAGGAGGATTGACTCCCAGAATGCAACATCAGTTAACCTTATTTACTCGTGACAGGTTTCAAAATGGCGGAACGGCATTTTGAAAGCTGGCACGTCTTGTTGCATTCTGGGAGCCAATGCTCATTGCGGCGTTATCTGACTCCAAAATCACCTCAACATTTGAAGAGTCGGCATTAACATGTGAATATCCACTTCAAATTTTTAAGTTATTAATTTGTCATTATGGACACAAATTCCACTATATCTGGACTTACTAGGACGGAAATAGAGCACGGAATACACTGAGGTAAGAATTTATTACATGTGCGACAGCATGTAATTTTCATAGCTATAGCATGGGCTTTCAACTAGAATTAAAAGCCCGTGGCTATCAACTAGAATTAAAAGCCCGTGGCTATAGTAATTCTTTACGTTCCCCATTGTAGGCCCTAAGGATCTGAAACCTACATGTACTGGTCAAAATGGCATTACAGACCAGTTGCAATGTTATTTTCCTATACATGATGAAAAAATCAACTGGTCCATATCAAGTAACAGACCAGCGGACTGACGCATAGGGCCAACACTGATTACGAGATTCAATGATTAAATATGAAACAAGATGAAAGTTCTCGAGTATATAACGTTGTTTTGGAGAATTTGGTATAAATGGCCAATGATGACTACACTCATAAATGTGGGGTCGAATTGGCGTTTTTTCTTATTTTTTAATATTTTAGTTGGCACAAGAATGATAAAAAATAAGAAAAAACGCCAATTCGACCCCACATGTATGGGGGTGACGACCAATGAAATTGAAAACAAGATATTTATATGACCATGTTTTTTGTCTATAGTATCGCGTATGAGTCTATTCCATAATTCCCATTCATACAGTAATCTCAATGAAATAAACAACTGCTAAACCAACACAACAAATATTAAATTAGAGCTGAGACTAATAGAGCAATCATAGAAATAAATGTCAATGATTTTTGCTCAACTTTCACTTTCACTTTCCATTTTGATTGACAGTTCGATTGAAAATCTTTCGTTTATATTTGTGCTATTTTCTACTTCTGTAATACAAATCAAACATTCAGTCTCATCACAGATATAGAAAAAATGTATATTTCAATGATGTCATATATTACAATAGATTAAAACCTTACCATAAGGAGAATCCAACGATATTACTGCACGCGAAGCGGACCGGTTGTTTTGGTTTCCAACCAGTGAGCTTGTTATCCGCAAATTACTCCCCAATATATAAGCAAGCACTAGATATAATAATTATAATTTTGATTATTATTTGCCTTACTTGACAAGATCAAGGATGTGAATATATGTAATAATATAATATCAAAAATGATAAGACTTTTATATCTACTTACTGATGATTTTCAAATGATAATACTCAGCACGTAAAGGTTAATTAAAACTGGCATTTGCGGTGTTATGAGACTTTGAAGAAAAATGAGAAAGTCAAAATTTTTGAAATATTTGTTTTTTGCTACTAATTCTTGAGTTATCGGCGTGCAATAGTAATATTTCTACATCATCCATGTACGTGCATGTATAGTTCATGTTTTGGGAGCACTAGTTTTGCAGCACGTGTTGCTAAACGAGGTAAGCTGATCCGTCAAAAATTGTTTGCAGTTTTGAAAAAAATTTTAGGATTCCCTCGCAGTCACAGAATGAATCACAACTATAAAGCTAGTATAACAAGTTAAACCTAGTGTGGGCCTTATTTCTCATCTGACATATCTTGTGGACCGCCCTAGGTTTAACGTCCGTGCCTATTCAGCCCTTGATGCAAAAAATTTAATGGTGGCCTATAGTAGCGCATGAAATTTCATGCGCGTTTAATTCATAACTGGTAGTGAGAATTTGCATCAAATGAAGGCATAGCACGGAAGTTAAACCCAACCACGGTAACAAGAACATTCAGATTAATAAATGAAAGCCGTGGTATTGGGTTTAACTTGTTGAACTACTATAAAGCCTGTTATCGATCAAATTAATTTCAGAACTGTTCAAATCTCAGATGTGGGCAAATGTTTTTTACAATGAGTCAGATATTAGACTTGAAAGGGAATGTGTTAAATTCGATGCACCATGTGGGAATTGAACCCAAGACCCTCTTCTCCAAAGTTACACACTACTGCTTGGCTCAATAAGCCTGGCTAGTCAATACAGCTGTAGTAACGACTTGATATCAAGGGTCATTACGCCATATCGCCAGAAGGATGATATCCCATTGTTACTGAAAATATGCATGGGCAAATGCCACATCTGACACCAATGTGATGATCATGAAGACACATCTGGGGAGCCAAATACTGGACATGAAAGGGAGTGTGCTAACCCATGATTCGAACACAGGACCTTTTGCTCTATAGTCCAATGATCTACCCCTGAGCCACAAGGGTTAGCCACTACAGCTGGGCTGTAGTAGGCGTAGTGACTTCCTATTGAGGGTCATTGAGATATGCGAATAAGCCTACTATTTCTAAAACTGAAGGGCACAGACTGAAATCATGAACAACTTATCAAACTTAATCACTTATTCTGTATGTTTTAATTAAAGACTCAAGCAATTTAATATATTAAAATAAGAATGAAATAGTGTCAGTAGAGGTGCTTGTAACAAATTGAGCAAACTTTAAATGTTGTCTGAGATAAAGTTTCTTATTTGTATAATAGAAAATCCTGAACTTCCAGTTTGTGATTTACCAAATCGAATGGCTTTTCGTAGATTCTATCCACATTAATGATTGCCTTCTTATATATATTGATTTAACTCCTGGTATCACTAAACCATAAATCATGTTCCCTGGGTCTGTGACTTCTTGCTTCAGTGATCTGCATCTAGAACTTGAATACATCTTGTAAGCTTATTTTTTTAGTAGAATTTTAGCCTCCATGAAAAATTCAATAGAAAACTGTTACACATATATTGCCTGGGATGCAAATACCTGGAAATAGAGTTTTTGCCTGTTTAGGTATTTCAAAGTCAATTTTCACCTACGCTCTAGTAGTATCTGAAGAAATGAGTGTTTATCCTGAATTTGATTTATAATTAGTCATTATTTATATGATTTCAGGTAGCTAGGTTTCAACATGGCAACTAGAACTATGATGGACACTGATACTGGAGAAAGGCAAACAATAGGGAGACCTAAGGTATCATTTTTTGTACAATTTTTGTTCTAAATTTTGAATGATTCATAAACCCAAACATCTTTTTTTCTTACTTGGCAATTGTCTTGTGCTTAATGCTTTTGTCTACTTGATGATTTTTTGAGACTTTTTTGGATTCCAATTATAATGAAGAGAAAATAATAGTGAATAATAAAACAAATATTTCATTCTATTTTTGGGCCTCGAATGTACAGACTGTACTAGAGCCATTAAATTCTGATAATTTCAAATTGAAATAAAGAAGGCTGATCTGATCTGAGATAGAATTCCAGACTCTTGGACACAGTACTCAAATTTGATTGAATATTAACCTATTTTTGTTTTGTTAGCCCTGGCATGTAAACCATGACTCCTTCTGGTAGGATAATTATGAAAATGTTCTCTTTGACTGAAATAATCATTATTTAATTTTGAATAAATACCTTGTTTTCAGAAAGAAGCCTTGTCATTCCCCATAGATAGAGAAGGACTCACTCCTGAAATGTATGATGTCATGGTCAATATAAAATGGGTAAGTTCAATATGAAATTATATTCTTAGTTTAATTTAATAGGAAAAGATTGTGTCAAACTCTAGATGTCAATTTCCTATGATTATTTTGATAATTGCTGGACTAACTATTTTAGTGATTTAATGTCTTTGTTTTGAAGGCAAGTTTTTCAGTATATTCAGTATTGTTGACAATCTGAATTTTTGTTATTTTGTTGATTAGTTGAGAATATCATGATATTTGTCATCATGTGTTTATATGTTGATTAAGATAATATTTACATCTAAAAGTAATGTGCATTAACATTTATTATTTGTGATTGAAGTTCTTCAAATTTATCATTGTTTTTTCATTTATAGCTGGCTGAGAGAACATTATTCCATTGGTTTCACTTCCCATTGGTTGTTCCTGATGGCCAATCAGACAACAGCTCTGCCAAGGTGATCATGGCCCCTGGAGTACAATTGTGCACCCCATACATATTTACCCTTTGAATACAACTGTGCAACCCATATATAGTATTACGCATGCTGCATCATTCACCCATCATACCACCAATGTCAATTATGCATCTCATTTAAAATTATTCACAGATTAGGTCAAAATATCAATTTTCTCCAAAAAGTAATTTACTAATGAATTGCCCCCTTCCCCCTATACCATTTGCTTTAAAGGACGTTGAAAAAGTATGTCACTTTACGGCATTCATTCCAGTGTTTCCTAGGCTTTAACCCCCCCCCCCCCCCTCCCCATTTAGATCTATAATCTTTGTGAATGATAGTATTGATATGTTGACCTTATCTCTAATCAAAGCATTTAATCAAGATTTTATTCAAATGAATGACAATTGTGGGTTCTCACATTTTCAATCTCAATGTATTAGTGTGCCTTTAATGCATCATACATTAAATTCTATTTTATAATTAATATAATCATAACTGTATTATCATTCATGATAATTGCATTATCATTTCTTGCATTTTATACATTTTCTGCAAGATCGTCACACTTAGTTCAAGTACATTCACACCCTGTAGCATTTTAATGTTAAGGTATGATGTCTGCATACAAAAGCATTATGGCAAAAAAGCATTTTTATGAATTGACTTGACTTGATGTTCATTTGGAGAAGTTGTTTGGTCTTAAATGAAATACTCTTCGCATATGAGTAACCAATATAAACAGCTGTCTTTAGCCCATGCAAGATATATTGCCGTTTTTCATCCTAAAGAGTCACATGTGCAAGACGAGTTTACTTGTGACATAATTTCTACAGAATGAGCTGTGATTTGATAACCTGGCTGAATGAATATCCATTAACTGAAGCTGTTTTACACCAAGTTTTGTCACAAAAAAAGTGAAAATGGGCCATAATACAGATTCATATGAGAAAATCTGTTTTTTTACTTGTACCTGTACATCCACTCTTGGTTCGCTTTTATAATATTTCTTTATCTCATCTTCGACGCAATAAAGAAGAATTATTCAAGTTCATCAAGAACAGATGATCTTGCAAAGTTACTCATACAAGAACCTCTTTGTCATCAATGTTTTTAAGCATAAAATCTAATTATTGCTACAGAGTTTATCATATAATTATGGTATTTTGAGAACATGCAACTGTTTTTGTATAATTTTTATCATTATTTCAACCATTGAATCATTACATTGTTTTCTGAGATTATCATTATAATTGTCGTGCTCTTATATCCTTTCTAGTTCGACATTTCATTTGGCACAGAATATGACAAATCATATTTTCTAATTTAACATTTTCATTTTATTTTTCCATCATTAATGCTTTTTGTGTAATATTTAGTTTTATTTTATATTTTAGATATCGTTACAGGGAGATGATGAAGACTTATTTGTGCTTTTATTAACGTTGTGGCTATAGCCAGGTTTTGAAAAAAATAGCAAATTACTCGATTCATGTTATTAAGGCAGTGATGAACTACTCTGTACATTTACAGTCAATTAGGTTTCTCATAATTTTCTAAATACAAAGGTACAATGTAGACCCATCCTACCATGTGCTTCCTCACTGTATCATCAGCTCAATGAGTGGCCTCATTTGCTAATATAATTGTCCTTCCCATTAGCCATATGGAATGATGGGATCTAAATATCACCTTTGTAAATTCCCCAGTTTCCTTATTCCTGGCTACAGCGATATTAACTCTTTTATCACCAATTTAAGAACACATAAATTGGAGATATTAGGCCTCTATAGATTTATTGTCTGCTTGGCAAAAATCTGACCAATCGACACCAGACTTTTATTTATTTTCTTTCGAAATTTACAAAAATGAAATTAAAAGACACAAAACAAAAATTGTAAATTGCACCTGAGAAATTGACTTTCTGTTAAACAGATTGATTATTCTAGCGGCCTGAGAGTTAACCTCAAATATGTGTCATTAATTTCTGCATGTTTAAATGATAATAATTATAGTCCTAGATTTTGGTTGCTATGTATTTTTAATTTCGCAGTTATTTGAACAAAATTTGAGCCACTGGACAGACTTTCCGTTGATCCCGCCAGCGTTTACCAGTAGCCATGACGATGAGAATCAGGTTGGGAAGTTGAAATCGCTCCTTAAATTTGAAACCGTTCGTTATATTTTGAAAAGCAGTTCATGTCTGTACTGTGATCAGCAATTATATTTTTAGAGATTATTTGTGTATGTATAATTGTCACTTTGTAAGTTATTCACTTGTTTGGTCTTTTTGATTCATTTTACCTTTTTACTATGCCTTTGTTTATGTGCCTTTGCTTGATGTTGTTGATATTGGTATGTTGGGTGTATATTACTATAGGATCAAATCAGAATGTCAATATTTTTATTTCCATAGACTCAAGATAAGTGGACTTAATGTTAAAGGTGATTCTGCTGACTTAAATTTTCTTTCAATTTGTCTTTGGGAATATAATTTGAGTTAGTGTAACAATGTATAAAGTATACATCTTCTGAATTTGCAAATCTGCCATGTACAGGACAGTGTCAAAATTCATATTTACGTACCTCAACCGAATAAAAACTAGAACTTTGTTAACTGAAAAATACTGGTATTCTGAAATGATCCTTGAAATAAGTTTTACAATAGAAATGCATGTACAGTGTAAGTAGATGTTTTCAATATTGTTGAATTTCTCTTGAGCATCATGTCAGTTTTGTGTTATACAGGTATAAGGCATGTTATATCTTAGATTATGTAGAATTTGTACAATGGATTACTATATTATTGGTGGAAGGCATGTTTTATTATTAAGCTGGAGTGTTTTTAGTGTTAATGATGTCATGTATTTCTGCCCATAAAATGCTATTCATCATTGTGACTGTACACAGTATTAACATTAGAATATAAGTGTATATTATTTTATTTGTACAATTTATTTTTTGAAAGCAAGGTGTAAGCATTTGCTTAAAGTCATAACCAAACATAATGAGGCTGCATAAAAGTTAAAATCAGACTTTAACAGCTCATGATGGTGTCATGTCTAAATCCAAGAAGGATGTCATTTCTTAATCCAAAATGATGATTTGTGAACAATATCTTTCGTTTTGAGCACTTTCATACAACATTTCATAATAAACATGATTTTTAAAACATGGTTTAGTTATTTGAAGTGATTTTCAATTTTCATACATCAACTCGTTGAAAGTTAATAGTAAATAAATTTATTTTTGGACAAACAATGCAATTTCACAAGAGTTAAAATTAAAAACAAGAGTGGAATGAGCTAGTTTTGATTTTGATATCAACTCCCATGTCAAGTCACTTCACTCTTAAATATTGAAAATTCTGTTTATTTCAATTCTTATTGAGGAATGGTCTGAATAAAGCACAATTTGTGGGAACATTTTATAATCATATAATATTTCTGTAGGTGTCATACAAGGATCTATTCATGGCCCCTGTTTTTGATGAGCTGGATGAAGTAGCTGTTGATAAAACTGGTAAAGCTAGAAGTCTAGACCATAAACAACTTGCAGATGTCAGGAAATATGGGTAAATATCAATTTCAGTTTATTTGTTATCTTAGACAAAACTGGTATATTTATATATGGATTTAAACTGGTCAGAAGCAAATTGCATAAATTAAGAAACATTAATCTCAACACATTTTATACTTTGTGTGAAAAAGTACCATATACAGTGACCATTGTTATGTTATCAACACATTGTATTGTGAAGAAATACTTTGATATCTTCCACTTATTATTCAAGAAAAAAATAGAGAAATGCTGAAGAATAAACATATTGAGCATTTATTTGTTGTTCCATTTCACAGAGTTCAGTCTATTTGTTGTTCGATTTCAGCGAGTTCAGTGTGGAGAGTGTACATTTCCCTGGACAATATCACAAGTGGAGACTATCTCAGTTGTTGCAAAAAGGAACTCAACGAGCCCACATTTCCTTACTCAATGTGAGTCATTTACTCAATTTCCATAATTCAGGACTCCATTTACTTATAGAATTCAGTCTTTTTTTCATTTTTTGAAATATTTTGTATTGGAAGTAAAATGAGAAAATACAAATAGAAGTACATTAAATCGGAAACAAAATTCATTTAAAGCAAAAATTGTTAACTGAATAAACACTGATGACAAAATATTTGGTGAAAATACTTACATATTATTACAATTTTTCTAGGACATGGCCTGGGCATTGAGACTGCTGATCGTGACAGCCAAGAATCGTATCTACTCTCATTTCTTTAGTCTTTCTCAGACTGTACGCTGGATAGGCAAGGCTTTTTGGCTGCTTCTAGACTTACTCATTGGTAAGAACATTCGAGAATTACTAATATTTAAGGCATCAGTAATTATATGGTTCTTAGTCCATTTGTATAACATTGGTGTTTGACTGTGATTTTATGTACAAATCAGAATGGTCTACCATAACAATTTTCCACTCCATTGTATTCCAATCCATCCTATATCACTCTAGAATTCCACAATCAAAAATTTATTTTATTTAAATAGGTCTTTGACTCTTGACTGGGACATGACCACTGTAAATATATTAAGCCTTCGCCTTGACATAATAAGTTCATTTGCTGATACATTTGTGGTCATTCCTTTTGTGAGTATATGACATATTCAATCATTGGCTACACTCACTCATGGATTACCACTGGTGATCCACTCGATTACGCTGGTACCGAAACGGTTCGTTTTGGTAACAAAATGTCGAAACCTCGAAGGTTCGATTTTTTCTTTTTTCCTTATTTCACGCGTTGTAGGCAGAATTCCCACGACGTGTTTTCTCACAAACGTGTATCAGTATCATATGTTTTAGAAAATGTTCATGTTCGCACAAATGTACATTTTCTAAACATATGATACTGATACACGTTTGTGTTAAAACATGTCATGGGAATTCTGCCTACAACGTGTGAAATAAGGAAAAGAGAAAAATCGTACCTCAGACGTTCCGACATTTTGTTACCAAAACATACCGTTTCAGTAACCAGCGTAATCGAGTGGATCACCAGTGATCATATACTCACTAATTATCAACATGATGAGTTGATCAGTATGTAACTTCAAATGAAACTTCTTAACTGTGATTCCTTCCCTGAGTGCATTTTCTGAGAATCTGCATATTTCACCATTTATTCTAAAGAGATATCTTGTTCAACACAAAGTTCATTTGGCATGTCCATATACAGATTGCAAGTCATCCAATGTACTGAAGAGTTTAACATCAAGATTGATATTATATTTTCCTTATACCTTAACCATACCTTTGTACTTTGTAACATTTCGTCCAGCATGTTTGTTTGACTTTTCCAAACTGTTTGAAGTATTAAATTGAAGAAATTAAATAAGAAAAGAAAATAGAATGACCAATAATGTCAAATATGTAACATGAAACACTGTTTAGATATGCCAAAATATGCATTTAGGTATGCCAAAATATGCATTTAGGTATGCCAAAATATGCATTTAGGTATGCCATGATATGCATTTAGGTATGCCATCGACAACTCTTGGTGACCTTGCGTACAAAATACGAGATGAACATACAAAACATCTAATAGCTGAACTGGATGTGAAAGGAGGGACGAAGCGCGAGTGGAGAGCATTCTGTGACTATATTCAGGAGAAATGTCAGAACTCTCCTGGAGAGAGGGAGGATGTAAGCACATTTTAACACCTTCTTTTTGAAGAGTCAATTCAAATAATACAGAACCATGAAGGAATTGAACATTAAGCAAGGAGCTTACAATTAAAAAAATAATTCTATGTAATTTCCAATAATATTTGGAGAAAAAATGAAAGAAATTTTATTTTGTCATCTCGAAAAATGAAATATTGTGAAGGAATTGCCTCAAGTTCCAAGACATTTCTTGAGGCTGTTTTCTAGATTGTTTATAATATGTTCTGTTAATTTACTATTTCAGACTCTACATCCGCCAGTCGTTCCACATTTGTATACAACAGCTAAGTCACTAGACATTGACCTAAGACTCTTCAATAAAGGTGAATAGAAAATAATTATTTTTTATGACATACTTGACTTGAAACACAAAATAGCATTGGTGTGGATTGTTCTATCCTCCAAATTCAGGGATCGAGACATCATTCATTCTTGTTTTTCACAGGACAGTGTGGTTGATGTTTTGAGCCCTGTATTCAGGGGGATGAGATTTACCAACTTCAGCATTTTATAATAAACTTTGACTTTAGCTATGATTTCTGATTTGTTCCTACATTATCTGATCAGTTATGATGATATGAAATTAAGAACAACATTTTCATGCCATTGCAAAATACATTTGGAAGAGTCCCATTGGATAATATAGTCCTGCATTAAGTCTCTGGACCCCTTTCTATTATGGGGTATGGTTGAAAAGGGGACACATTAAAGCATGAAGCAAGAGTAAGGATAAAACAAATGATTTCAAACAATTGAATTTGATCATGAATATTTTCTGACCTTGGAGACATGTGTATATACATATTTTTTATGTATTGGATTTATACATTCAAGATCATAAAATACTTCCAATCTATCCAAGCTATCAAACTGTCTGAAACTGTTTGCCTTGTCTTAAAGGACTCTCGGCATTAGGATATTTGATACTTTGTTTTCAGATCTAATGCTAAAATGTGTGAGAATTCTGAAGGGAATCTTGGATCAGGAATCTCGAGGCTGGCATCTAAAGTACAAAGACAAACTCATAACTGAGTTAAAAGGTATGCAAACATTTATCAAAGATTTGTTACATAAATTTATTACAGTTAAAGTTTTCAAAGCATCTTAATCCAAAACCTTTTGTTTCTGTACATCAAAATTATGCAAAAACAACTTGTGAGTATAAAACTTCATTTAATGAATTGTCAAGGTTTTTTACCATGATATGTAATGTCACATGTACAATACTTGAAATTTGTGGTTATGAAAATCTCTGATATTGAATATTTGTGAGATGTAATGTCTGTGATGAAACAATAATCAAGAATTTTAACCTTAATTGCCACAATTAAATACATTTTGTGGTTATTCTTAACCCTTTGAGTGCCGGGGGTTTTTGGAATTTTTATGTATGTTACAATAAAGTTACAAATAAAGTAACTAAATTACTTTATTTATTTCCAGACCAGAATCTCTCAAACAAAAAACTCACTGAGGTAAGAAAATAAATGTGATTTTTTCAAATACTATTCAATACTAAAGATTAACTATAGCATATATGAGTTATGTACAATACCCTATTCAACTTCAATTAATATTCAATCTATTATATATAATTTATTTTATGAATAGGCAGCAATATGCTCAAACTCAGCCCCTCTGACTTTAAAACAATTACCATTTTAACCTCCATCTAAAGATGAAGTATTTAAGGTAAAACTATGCCATGGCATAACTGACATTTTGACATGATGCTTAATATATCAATCAATGTCAATCAGTTTCCTAAAAGAAGGATGCTAAACTATTTTAATTGAAATAAGTTTGACCACAAAAAGGAAGTGAGTTCTAAGCCTTCATAAAGTTCCATTTGCAAAAAAGGATATTTTCACTTGGTTCCTATTAACTTTTTATTTTAATATCTCCTATAGGTTGTGAACAGAAAGATTGGAGAAGAATACCTCAGAAGAGTGTTCAGTGCAATATTAGAAAACCCAGAACTAGAACTGGTCCAGTCAGGAATAGGTAAGAAACAAGCAACCAAACAGACATCATTCATTCTGACTTTGTTTTTATAAATAGATGAGGAAAACTAGAAAGACTCACAAAACTTCAGTAAGCTCTATGCATTACTTCAATTATAAGCAAGCACTTTGACTTACATTTCAGGTAAACTGCTAGTGGAACATGCTAAGACTGTGATCATTATGAGGCAGGCTTTGGAGAATATACGGCTACAACTCTTTCAGCACAAGAAACAGGTAAGCCTTTAATGGGTCTACTTAGAACAGGTAAGCCTTTAATGGGTCTACTAGTACAGGGGGCATTAATTGGTATACTACAGGGGCTATTAATTGGTGGACTACAGTAATGCAATACAATATAAAGCAATAACATGACATCACTCAAAATACAATAAAAGGATATTACTCAAGAAACAATAGGACATCATTCAAAATACAATAAAAGGATATTACTCAAGAAACAATAGGACATCATTCAAAATACAATAATATGTCAATACTCAAACTACAATAATAGGACATCATTCAAAATACAACAGTTGGACATCATTCAAAAAACAATAATGGGACATCAATAAAAATACAATAAAAGGACATCACTCAAAATATAATAATAGGTCACATTATTCAAAATACAATAATTGGACATTACTCAAAATACAATAAGAGGACATCATTCAAAAAAGTACAATAATATGTTAAAACTCAAACTACAATAATAGGACATCATTCAAAATACAATATGTCAATACTCAAACTACAATAATAGGACATTATTTAAAATACAACAGTTGGACATCACTCAAAATACAATAATTATAGGATATTACTCAAAATACAATAATAGGATATCACTCAAAATACAATAAGACATCATTCAAAATACAATAATAGGACATTACTCAAAATATAATAATAGAACATCATTAAAAATACAATAAAAGGACATTATTCAAAATACAATAATTGGACATCACTTAGAATTCAATAATATGACATCACTTTGTAACACTCAAAATGTAAAATTTGCAATGTGAAATGTATTTTTATTTAAGCAATGAGTTTCAAGTTCTATAGTTCAAGGCTATGTAATTTTTATCTCATTGTTTAAATAAATTGATTTGATAACGCTCAATTAATGAACATTGTGTTCTATTTCAGCTACAAGAGCACTTGGAGAAAGATTTTCCAGTTCGCTCGAGGATACCAGCTTGGATGCATCAACAGCAACAAGAATTTGAGGTGAGCTCATTTTAGAGATCAGTTTAACAGAAACATTAATAACATTTAGAATTCATTAGTTCATTGTTCTCCACTCTGACATCACTTGGTTTCAATTATTGATTAAGGAATTCTTGTTTACTAAGTTTTTGTTAATGACCCGAGATCAGTAATTTATTTTAATGCATATTTTAATTTTTAAAGCTAAAATCATAGGGGGTTACAAAATTGAAAGCAACATTTTTAATTGATCTACCAACCAATGTATCATATTCTTACCATCTCCCAAAAGATGATGAAGTTATATCAGATTCAAAGTGCAAAAATGTTAATTCCTCCAAAGTATAAATGTGGTGACCATGTTTTATCAAATAAACACAAAAGCACTAAAATATGTGCTTTCTCTTGGATAAATTATGAACTTTGATCTGTATGAACTGTTTGGCAAGGAGTGATATAAGACAAAAATATACTGAATATAGACCAGGGCTCTCGCCATGCTTTTAGACTGTGGTGCAGCACCACACTCTATTTAGCTCCCTCCACACCTTATTGGCAAATCATGACTTTTCACAGTTTAAACTTTACTGAATATACAATAATAGCATGTAAAAAGGATAAAACATAACATAAATATGATTTATCACGATTGAACGGTTATTCTGAAGATGTTAGCACCACACCCTAAATGTTTCCTGGTGAGAGCCCTGTAGACTTTTTAGAAAGATGCTGCCTATCTGACACAACAAGGTGGGTGTTGGATAGGTGGCTTCCTCTCGTTTATTCTCTGCATTTCCTGTCAAACCACTTGTGAGATTATTGAAATTCTAGAAATGTTTTGGGGCATGCATTGTAAATTTTAAGGCAGCCGTTTTTGGTTTTCCGATCTGAAATTGTTCAATGTATACAATAGTAGTACTTACATGCACATAAGACCATATTTTCTTTCCTAATCTTGAGGTTAATTATCCTTTTCTAATATATCAACTACCAGAAAAACATCACCTTATTCAATATACTATGTTATATAGAAAAATTGTGTAATTGTGTGATACTATGTTATATAGAAAAATTGTGTAATTAATTTTTTTCTGAAAGAAGTGGTTTATAATTATGATTGTCAGTTTGCTGAAATTTGCATTTACATATTTGAGTAATTGGCTTTATTTTACTCAAATCTAAGGCATTTTAGATGTTATATTGAATTGAAAGTTGTGTCCTTGATCCATTATCATGGATCCATTCTATATTGCATTTTTTCTTACTTCTAAATTGTCCTTCTTCTGTTGCCTCCCATGCATGTTTAACTGAGTCTACCAAAGATTGAAATAAAACATCACCACTTGTCCAATCGTTTGAAAAGTCATCATTTAGTAGTTTCTCCCACCAAGTTGCAGATTCCAATATTGCAGCTTCATCGAGCACATTAGTTGGGAAGTCCTCCTCTAGTAGTTTTTCCCACCATTGTGTGGCACTGCTGTGTTTGACATGTTTCAACATCCACAGTAGTACAATCAGTTCCATCCTGTGGAAAGAACCACTCAAAACCCTCACCTTCCTATCAGGGTAATATGTATCTGGTAGAGAAATGTCCTTATCATATAGTCTGTATTGATCTGAATCATCACCACCTCTTCTATATTGATTGAATATGTATTCCACAACATTCTCAAAACATCTCCCAATATTTGACTCAGATTCTGTACAGCTATGCTGGTGATGCAAGACCAGAAGTTTATAAGAGTAGGAGGAAATGAGTTCAAATACTAGTAATGAACTGTTAGGGATTATGTACTTTTGGATCTTCTTATACAGTTGTGAAGTGTATTTCAAAAAGAGAAAAAGGGATTTATGGTTTTTAGTTGGTATGTGTAACATATTATCAGTTGCTGGTTGTAAAGTTGGTAATATTGATTCAGTCCAGTATGGGTTATAAATAGATTCACCACCAGGACAACGTGGCACCATTACACTTTCTTTGGTTTTCATGATACAGAAACAGAGATCTACGTCTGTAGTTCCTAATGGTCCCCCAATCCTAAGCCACACACTAGGGCCATGTCGGTTTTGATGCATACTGAATGTTCTTATTGGGTAGTCAGGTTGTTGCCTCCTATGATCAACCATGCCAAGGTAGACAGAACCGCAAGTTTCCTTAAGGTAAGAGTGCATAACTTGATGCAGAAAATCTCGTGACAACCAGTATACATCCTCAGAAGGACCCTTAGAAGAATAAAGGATTTTCTCACCAAGAGCAGAAGCCTTCTTTGGGAGATCAAGAAGGTGTTGCTGTATTTGTCCAGGGTGAATATTAACAACTCCATATCCCTTTCCTGTCAAATCACAGTCATCTCTAACATCGCATACTTGAACTGAGGCATCATCAGACAGAGATAATAGATTTAGAAAGTCATACTCTGTTGGACTGATGATCTTTGTCTTTTCAATGTAACTGCCTCTAAGGATTGGGTCCTTGGTCTTGAATACCTGTTTATATTCCCCAAAACCTGAACATATTGTCCTGACAAAGTCATGTATATATTCAGTGTGATGTTTCAGCTCTGCATCAGTGTATTTGTTGAAAATGTCTACTTTTGAGGATATGTAATTCACAAATCCTGTCAATCTATCGTATTCTGAATGATATTTGACTCGCATAAATGAATCATGTATGTCTCTTACCGGCTCCAGCTGTAGTAATGGCAAAATTGCACTCAGAAGATGTATCATAGAAATGAAGAAGTTTTGAGTGTACCCCATCATAAAGCATACTCCACAAGCCAACTGTGTAAATACTTCACTGAAGATTGGTCTGCCATTTATTATCCAATTATAAATGCCAAGAGTCAGATAAAATATGCCGAAAAATGAGGAAAGGTTAAACAAAATATAGTTCTGTGGGTTATCCATAATTAAGCAAATACCAAGAGCACCAAGGTAGTCCAGTAGGAGTCATGGATTATTGTCAGTTCCTGTTCTATGTTATACTCACTATGTTATATTTTGAAGTGATTTGTGAAAATCCATATTGAGAAGGGCCTTACATGGTATATAGGCTGGCCCTAAATCTCTATTCTGTCTTTAGAGTTGCCATGACCAATTTGTATTTATTTAATTGCAAAGATAACAATACATCGTACCCATTCAATTCAAAAGCCAGGGGCCCTAGGACTGTATACTGTTTTTTCTAGCACTATAGAAACATCAGGGGATTCCCCTTTTTGAATTTTTGAAATTCAAAATTCCAACCATTTTTATTTACTCTATAGATGAATCACTTCTATAGAGAAGTTCGATCCTTTCAGAAAATAACAAATGAAATGTCATTTCAGCATGTTTATGCAAACATTTTGAGATGGAAACTAATTTCAGATGGATCTACCTTATTTATCCTATTGTACAAAGTTTTTATAGGGAAACAGTCTGTTTGTCCACGTCTCCAGGCACTAAATCATATACTGGTTGACAGATTTCAGTTTTATAGGCTTATATGTGTAGCACCTCTCCTCAAGAAGAAATTTTCAATATGGCCCACTCAATACTAAGTTTGGACTTATTCCTGGTTATTTCTATTACTGTATTAATAGTATGTATAAAATGATAAAAATTTGATGAGATATGTTTTGTTCCGTGCGATTTGCTACTCTTGGAGTTGCTATTTTTCTAGTATTAATCTTTGATTTTGCTTACAGTACCGTAACAGAACATTTAGAGTATGGTACTATACAGTACCATTTTGAGTATGACACCATACACTGTTCATGGTATCATACAGCACCATTTTATAGTCTATGTTACTGTATTTCACGGTATCATACAGTAATGTGACCAAGACAGTACTTTGCAATAATGTTGCAGATTGGCTGTGTTTATATATGAGAGATCAGACAAAGGCATTTGTAAATTGTCAAGCAGCACAGAAGCCTATAGGGGTCAAATCTAATGCAACAACAGAAAATTATAAAATATATTAAATGTGTTGGTTTTAATTGCAGAAAGAGTTTATAAGACAACACATGTGGAGTGCTCATGAGGAAGCCTTGGCTAAATGCAGACATGCACAATTACATCAGTCTGTTTACTTCCTCCAGAGAGACCTAGACTTCATGAAAGAGGTAATTAGTTGAATTTTAAATAGTTCAAGATGCTCTCAGGCCTTTTCCTTCCACTTTTACCAAAAGGTTGTTATACTACACACTTTTGATATTGAACATGGCATTGTTTCAAATTTGAATTGACTGCATTAAAATAGCTACTATAATAGTACTGTTTTGATTGGGAGTCATTGGTTGACTGCATTAAAATAGCTACTTTAATAGTATTGTTTTGATTTGAAGTAATTTGTTGGCTGCAATAAAATAGCTACTATAATAGTACTGTTTTAATTTGAAGCAATTGGTTGGCTGCATTAAAATAGCTACTATAATAGTACTGTTTTAATTTGAAGCAATTGGTTGGCTGCATTAAAATAGCTACTATAATAGTACTGTTTTAATTTGAAGCAATTGGTTGGCTGCATTAAAATAGCTACTATAATAGTACTGTTTTAATTTGAAGCAATTGGTTGGCTGCATTAAAATAGCTACTATAATAGTACTGTTTTAATTTGAAGCAATTGGTTGGCTGCATTAAAATAGCTACTATAATAGTACTGTTTTAATTTGAAGCAATTGGTTGGCTGCATTAAAATAGCTACTATAATAGTACTGTTTTAATTTGAAGCAATTGGTTGGCTGCATTAAAATAGCTACTATAATAGTACTGTTTTAATTTGAAGCAATTGGTTGGCTGCATTAAAATAGCTACTATAATAGTACTGTTTTAATTTGAAGCAATTGGTTGGCTGCATTAAAATAGCTACTATCATAGTACTGTTTTGATTTGTAGTCATTGGTTGGCTGCAATAAAATAGCTACTATAATAGTACTGTTTTAATTTGAAGCAATTGGTTGGCTGCATTAAAATAGCTACTATAATAGTACTGTTTTAATTTGAAGCAATTGGTTGGCTGCATTAAAATAGCTACTATAATAGTACTGTTTTAATTTGAAGCAATTGGTTGGCTGCATTAAAATAGCTACTATAATAGTACTGTTTTAATTTGAAGCAATTGGTTGGCTGCATTAAAATAGCTACTATAATAGTACTGTTTTAATTTGAAGCAATTGGTTGGCTGCATTAAAATAGCTACTATAATAGTACTGTTTTAATTTGAAGCAATTGGTTGGCTGCATTAAAATAGCTACTATAATAGTACTGTTTTGATTTGGAGTCATTAGTTGGCTGCATTTAAATAGCTACTATAATAGTACTGTTTTGATTTTTTGATTTGGAGTCATTGGTTGGCTGCATTAAAATAGCTACTTTAAAGGCCCCATATAAAGTTTAAACCACTTTGGCTTATATTGTTGTCTTACCCAATGTTATCAAAGTGTGATATGTGAAACATTTTTTTTAAATTTCAAAAAGTGGTTTTTGATAGACTTTTTTGTTCCAAAATTTGTGAATTTATTTAAAACCAACTTTTAGAGGTCACTCATATCTTCTAATTAGCCACAATTCATACCAATGCATAGCATTCATCCTCCCATGTTTTTTGCCGAAAAAATTAAGAAAATCGGTTCATAAATAAGCGAGAAATGAACTTATCAGTGCATGAAAATGGTTCTGAGAAAAATGCATTTCAAAATTTTAGTTCTCAATGGTACAATGATATCTAAAACATAATTTATTCTTCTTTTTAACCTGGTTAGACAATCAACATTGGTTTTTTATGAAAGTCTAACATATTTAGAAAAGATTGACATCGAAAAATTAATTTCAATTTTTTTCAAAAAGTTTTTGGTACCTTAGTGACATCACTAATGTTTCAAAATATTTTTGATATGTTAAAACATTGAAGTGGCCCATTAAATATGGCATTTTATTATTGAAATAGTTTGTCCTTTGTTCAACCTTTGCATTGGTGTTAAAAAGATAATCTTTTTTGAAATGCATTAAGAAATATTTGATGATTAAGAAATTTCAATTTTTTTTGAAAAATGACGGGAAATTTGAATATTTGAGCAATGAAATGCTCACAACTTTTTTTTCAAAATTTTTTTTTTGTTCAAAATCTCTAAAATCACTTTTTATGTCCTGACAAATAGTAAATGAATGATAAAAAAATATTTTCAAACTTTAGACGGGGACTTTAATAATACTGTTTTGATTTGGAGTAATTGGTTGGCTGCATTAAAACAGCTACTATCATAGTACTGTTTTGATTTGGAGTCAGTTGGCTGCATTAAAATAGCTACTATAATAGTACTGTTTTGATTTTTTGATTTGGAGTCATTGGTTTACTGCATTAAAATAGCTACTATAATAGTACTGTTTTGATTTGGAGTAATTGATTGGCTGCATTAAAATAGCTACTATAATAGTACTGTTTTGATTTGGAGTCATTGGTTGGCAATCGAGACTGTAACAATTGATACACTTTTTTTAACCATTTTCAGGTGGTCTTATTACATTTATGGTAATGTTTTGTTTATTTCTTGACTGATTGATAAAACTTTTGTGTCTGTTAAATAAATGAATTGAAATAAAAATAATTGAATACTGAACTTTGCAGCGTGAGGGAATCCTCAGGAAGGAACTTAGCAAGGTGAAACTGCCAAATCGTGAGTTCAAATTCCGACGTATGATTTGGCGCCCATGGCGATGGGAAGTGACGAGATATTGCCGTGGGGAGACGGAACGTATAATCACAGTGGTGTGCGACAAACCTGCTCCTCCTACTAATCTCCAAAGACAAGACACTGTAAGTTGAGAATTATGCACTTTGATGTATTGATTCATATACAGATTAACTAATCATAATCAAAGGATGATGTATCATGTCAAATAGCCAGACCTCAAAGTGTGAGTGTGAAAACTTGCCAGTTAAACATATGAGAGATGGAGATGAGGTACTGTAGATTACACAATATTCTACTTGTTATTTCAGTGCAGTTATTTGTTATAGTACTACTCAATATTTCTACTTGTTATTTCAGTGCACTTACATTGTACTTGTTATTTCAGTGCAGTTATTTGTTATAGTACTACTCAATATTTCTACTTGTTATTTCAGTGCACTTACATTGTACTTGTTATTTCAGTGCAGTTATTTGTAGTACTACACATTTCCACTTGTTATTTCAGTGCACTTACATTGTACTTGTTATTTCAGTGCAGTTATTTGTTATAGTACTACACAATATTTCTACTTGTTATTTCAGTGCACTTACAATCTTAGCAAACACTGGCACAGCAGCACCAGTAGCAGGTGGCCATTCTGGCGCTGGTTGAACTACGCACATAGGACTTTGTCCTGGGCTTCTGATGCCATGTTTATTCTGCTGGTAAGTGATTACATACAACCCAACCTATATACTTACTGCCCTTGTTCATTATAAATAACTATTCTGGCGCTGGTTGAACTATGCATATAGGACCTTGTCCTGGGTCTCTCATGCTATGTTTATTCAGCTGGTGAGAGATTTATCTGATTCTCAATTTTTAATGAATATCACTCTTGAGAAATGATCCAAAATTTTTTGTTTTTGCAATGCTTCACATTGATATTGACCTAGGCTTATGAAATCATATTGAAACAAATTAATATCTTGAAAATTATAAATGGCATTGTCAATTAATAAGTAATTTGATATTGTTTAATAGCAATATTTCTTATTTCTTAAGATGCAGTCTTGGAGTCCTCAGATGTAGTCCTGTGGGAATATGACCCACTCTTGATAAATTCCTGTTACTGTAATAATGTTTGGTTCCACCAAGAAATGATGACATATTATTTAAGCCATTATGTGACCAGCATTTGGTATCAGTGATTGGCTTTAGCAAATTGTAACTGCAGTCAGGTGGTCAAATTTTGTCATGTTTATGCCTTGTCTGAATTACAGGATATTAGTCCCCTTGTCCTGAAGAAGTTTCAACTCTTCTTGCTACATTCATTCTCATTAACTTGACCTATAAATGCGACCTTGACTTCTAAATGTGACCTTGACCTTTAAATGATACCTTGATTATGTTTCTTACAGGTTGTTGTGCCCTGGTGTAGTCCTGTTGGAATCAGAGCGTTGTTTTCTTTAGATCCTTTCTACCCAGACCTAGAACTGAATCCAAGAGATGTAAGTACAATCTTTAATAATCCCACTGCCCATACTTAAGTACTCAATTTCTCTTCAAAATTTGAATGAGCATTATTGGCCACCAATTGCCATGACAACATTATAGGTTGGCCATCATTTACATATTACACAATAGAAGTACAATATTTTGCTGTATACAGTATCTATGCAGTTTAGGCTATTCATAACATTCCTTGTTATTTTATTTCTAGCAATTTTGACTTTTTTCTATTCTATTATGAATTTTAGAATACAGCATGACCTCACCATGAGCTTTGAAAAGTTTTGAAGTTCATATGTCACCATGAAATGCCAGAAAATTAAATAGTACAGTGGCTTTTTGACATGTAGTATAGATTCAACTGAAAATGCAAATGGCTTGTATTGGTACGGTTTTGATAAAATTTGACTTTGTGTGTGGAATGTGCAGATAATGTCAATGATGTCCTAATTTTCAAATGTCTTTATGTCTAAATTTATACAAGTCAAGTCTTTGACAATATGTGTATGTTATTCTTGATTTGTAATTATTTCAGGGGTCTCTTTGCCCTCGACTGTCTTCCAAAACACAAACTCTTGTTTCCCGCCTGAGATCGCTATGGCAACATGTTCGTCAGTCAAGGACAACATTTGAAGCAACCCCAGATACAGGTAATCCATGCAATAAATTGAAATTATAAGTAATCCATCCAATTAATTGAAATTATAGGTAATCAACCTTATTAATTGAAATTATAGGTAATCCATGCAATAAATTGAAATTATAAGTAATCCATCCAATTAATTGAAATTATAGGTAATCAACCTTATTAATTGAAATTATAGGTAATCCATGCAATAAATTGAAATTATAAGTAATCCATCCAATTAATTGAAATTATAGGTAATCAACCTTATTAATTGAAATTATAGGTAATCCATCCAATTAATTGAAATTATAGGTAATCAACCTTATTAATTGAAATTATAGGTAATCCATGCAATAAATTGAAATTATAAGTAATCCATCCAATTAATTGAAATTATAGGTAATCAACCTTATTAATTGAAATTATAGGTAATCCATGCAATAAATTGAAATTATAAGTAATCCATCCAATTAATTGAAATTATAGGTAATCAACCTTATTAATTGAAATTATAGGTAATCCATGCAATAAATTGAAATTATAAGTAATCCATCCAATTAATTGAAATTATAGGTAATCAACCTTATTAATTGAAATTATAGGTAATCCATGCAATAAATTGAAATTATAAGTAATCCATCCAATTAATTGAAATTATAGGTAATCAACCTTATTAATTGAAATTATAGGTAATCCATCCAATTAATTGGAATTTAATAAGGGTCAAAAAGATGTAAAGAGAGGTATGAGGATGTAACTCTAAAGTGTGTTCTTAATTCAAGTATCAATTTTACTATGGTGATGAACGTATGTAAAGAATATACATACAGTATTGACAGTACTGTAAATTGAATATTTCTGCATTAATTAATTAAATTGATTTTCGATTTCAGGGTTCCTTGGGAAAAGTCTTACTCGTCAATTCAATCGAGTTTGGAACTATTTCTTCAAGGGGGCACTGGGTACGGTGGGGTTGGTGCTGTTTATGCCCCCACTGTGTATACTAGTCAGTCTATTGTCTCTCCTAGCAGGCGTCACATCTCCTATATGGGTGCCTATTATTACTACACTTATACACCTTACTGCTTGCCTGGTCTATGACTTTGACCACCCAGGTAATTATAGCATTAACTATTATACTAGTCAGTCTATTGTCTCTCCTAGCAGGCGTCACATCTCCTTTATGGGTGCCTATTATTACTACACTTATACACCTTACTGCTTGCCTGGTCTATGACTTTGACCACCCAGGTAATTATAGCATTAACTATTATACTAGTCAGTCTATTGTCTCTCCTAGCAGGCGTCACATCTCCTATATGGGTGCTTATTATTACTACACTTATACACCTTACTGCTTGCCTGGTCTATGACTTTGACCACCCAGGTAATTATAGCATTAACTATTATACTAGTCAGTCTATTGTCTCTCCTAGCAGGCGTCACATCTCCTATATGGGTGCTTATTATTACTACACTTATACACCTTACTGCTTGCCTGGTCTATGACTTTGACCACCTAGGTAATTATAGCAATAACTATTATACTAGTCAGTCTATTGTCTCTCCTAGCAGGCGTCACATCTCCTATATGGGTGCCTATCATTACTACACTTATACACCTTACTGCTTGCCTTGTCTATGACTTTGACCAACCAGGTAATTGTAGCATTAACTATTATACTAGTCAGTCTATTGTCTCTCCTAGTGGGGGTCACATCTCCTATATGGGTGCCTATCATTACTACACTTATACACCTTACTGCTTGCCTGGTCTATGACTTTGACCACCCAGGTAATTATAGCATTAACTATTATACTAGTCAGTCTATTGTCTCTCCTAGCAGGTGTCACATCTCCTATATGGGTGCCTATCATTACTACACTTATACACCTTACTGCTTGCCTGGTCTATGACTTTGACCACCCAGGTAATTATAGCATTAACTATTATACTAGTTAGTCTATTGTCTCTCCTAGTGGGGGTCACATCTCCTATATGGGTGCCTATTATTACTACACTTATACACCTTACTGCTTGCCTGGTCTATGACTTTGACCACCCAGGTAATTATAGTATTAACTATTATACTAGTCAGTCTATTGTCTCTCCTAGCAGGCGTCACATCTCCTATATGGGTGCCTATCATTACTACACTTATACACCTTACTGCTTGCCTGGTCTATGACTTTGACCACCCAGGTAATTATAGCATTAACTATTATACTAGTCAGTCTATTGTCTCTCCTAGCAGGTGTCACATCTCCTATATGGGTGCCTATCATTACTACACTTATACACCTTACTGCTTGCCTGGTCTATGACTTTGACCAACCAGGTAATTGTAGCATTAACTATTATACTAGTTAGTCTATTGTCTCTCCTAGCAGGTGTCACATCTCCTATATGGGTGCCTATCATTACTACACTTATACACCTTACTGCTTGCCTGGTCTATGACTTTGACCAACCAGGTAATTATAGCATTAACTATTATACTAGTTAGTCTATTGTCTCTCCTAGTGAGGGTCACATCTCCTATATGGGTGCCTATCATTACTACACTTATACACCTTACTGCTTGCCTGGTCTATGACTTTGACCAACCAGGTAATTGTAGCATTAACTATTATACTAGTCAGTCTATTATCTCTCCTAGCAGGCGTCACATCTCCTATTTGGGTGCCTATCATTACTACACTTATACACCTTACTGCTTGCCTGGTCTATGACTTTGACCACCCAGGTAATTATAGTATTAACTATTATACTAGTCAGTCTATTGTCTCTCCTAGCAGGCGTCACATCTCCTATATGGGTGCCTATCATTACTACACTTATACACCTTACTGCTTGCCTGGTCTATGACTTTGACCACCCAGGTAATTATAGCATTAACTATTATACTAGTCAGTCTATTGTCTCTCCTAGTGGGGGTCACATCTCCTATATGGGTGCTTATTATTACTACACTTATACACCTTACTGCTTGCCTGGTCTATGACTTTGACCACCCAGGTAATTATAGCATTAACTATTATACTAGTCAGTCTATTATCTCTCCTAGCAGGCGTCACATCTCCTATTTGGGTGCCTATCATTACTACACTTATACACCTTACTGCTTGCCTGGTCTATGACTTTGACCACCCAGGTAATTATAGCATTAACTATTATACTAGTTAGTCTATTGTCTCTCCTAGCAGGCGTCACATCTCCTATATGGGTGCTTATTATTACTACACTTATACACCTTACTGCTTGCCTTGTCTATGACTTTGACCAACCAGGTAATTATAGCATTAACTATTATACTAGTTAGTCTATTGTCTCTCCTAGTGGGGGTCACATCTCCTATATGGGTGCCTATCATTACTACACTTATACACCTTACTGCTTGCCTGGTCTATGACTTTGACCACCCAGGTAATTATAGCATTAACTATTATACTAGTTAGTCTATTGTCTCTCCTAGTGAGGGTCACATCTCCTATATGGGTGCTTATTATTACTACACTTATACACCTTACTGCTTGCCTGGTCTATGACTTTGACCAACCAGGTAATTATAGCATTAACTATTATACTAGTCAGTCTATTGTCTCTCCTAGTGGGGGTCACATCTCCTATATGGGTGCTTATTATTACTACACTTATACACCTTACTGCTTGCCTGGTCTATGACTTTGACCAACCAGGTAATTGTAGCATTAACTATTATACTAGTTAGTCTATTGTCTCTCCTAGTGGGGGTCACATCTCCTATATGGGTGCCTATCATTACTACACTTATACACCTTACTGCTTGCCTTGTCTATGACTTTGACCAACCAGGTAATTATAGCATTAACTATTATACTAGTTAGTCTATTGTCTCTCCTAGCAGGCGTCACATCTCCTATATGGGTGCTTATTATTACTACACTTATACACCTTACTGCTTGCCTTGTCTATGACTTTGACCAACCAGGTAATTATAGCATTAACTATTATACTAGTCAGTCTATTGTCTCTCCTAGTGGGGGTCACATCTCCTATATGGGTGCTTATTATTACTACACTTATACACCTTACTGCTTGCCTGGTCTATGACTTTGACCAACCAGGTAATTGTAGCATTAACTATTATACTAGTCAGTCTATTGTCTCTCCTAGTGGGGGTCACATCTCCTATATGGGTGCCTATCATTACTACACTTATACACCTTACTGCTTGCCTGGTCTATGACTTTGACCACCCAGGTAATTGTAGCATTAACTATTATACTAGTTAGTCTATTGTCTCTCCTAGCAGGCGTCACATCTCCTATATGGGTGCCTATCATTACTACACTTATACACCTTACTGCTTGCCTGGTCTATGACTTTGACCACCCAGGTAATTATAGCATTAACTATTATACTAGTCAGTCTATTATCTCTCCTAGCAGGCGTCACATCTCCTATTTGGGTGCCTATCATTACTACACTTATACACCTTACTGCTTGCCTGGTCTATGACTTTGACCACCCAGGTAATTATAGCATTAACTATTATACTAGTTAGTCTATTGTCTCTCCTAGCAGGCGTCACATCTCCTATATGGGTGCTTATTATTACTACACTTATACACCTTACTGCTTGCCTTGTCTATGACTTTGACCACCCAGGTAATTATAGCATTAACTATTATACTAGTTAGTCTATTGTCTCTCCTAGTGGGGGTCACATCTCCTATATGGGTGCCTATCATTACTACACTTATACACCTTACTGCTTGCCTGGTCTATGACTTTGACCACCCAGGTAATTATAGCATTAACTATTATACTAGTCAGTCTATTGTCTCTCCTAGCAGGCGTCACATCTCCTTTATGGGTGCTTATTATTACTACACTTATACACCTTACTGCTTGCCTGGTCTATGACTTTGACCACCCAGGTAATTATAGCATTAACTATTATACTAGTTAGTCTATTGTCTCTCCTAGTGGGGGTCACATCTCCTATATGGGTGCCTATCATTACTACACTTATACACCTTACTGCTTGCCTGGTCTATGACTTTGACCACCCAGGTAATTATAGCATTAACTATTATACTAGTCAGTCTATTGTCTCTCCTAGCAGGCGTCACATCTCCTTTATGGGTGCCTATTATTACTACACTTATACACCTTACTGCTTGCCTGGTCTATGACTTTGACCACCCAGGTAATTATAGCATTAACTATTATACTAGTCAGTCTATTGTCTCTCCTAGCAGGCGTCACATCTCCTATATGGGTGCTTATTATTACTACACTTATACACCTTACTGCTTGCCTGGTCTATGACTTTGACCAACCAGGTAATTATAGCATTAACTATTATACTAGTCAGTCTATTGTCTCTCCTAGCAGGCGTCACATCTCCTATATGGGTGCCTATCATTACTACACTTATACACCTTACTGCTTGCCTGGTCTATGACTTTGACCAACCAGGTAATTGTAGCATTAACTATTATACTAGTCAGTCTATTATCTCTCCTAGCAGGCGTCACATCTCCTATTTGGGTGCCTATCATTACTACACTTATACACCTTACTGCTTGCCTGGTCTATGACTTTGACCACCCAGGTAATTATAGTATTAACTATTATACTAGTCAGTCTATTGTCTCTCCTAGCAGGCGTCACATCTCCTATATGGGTGCCTATCATTACTACACTTATACACCTTACTGCTTGCCTGGTCTATGACTTTGACCACCCAGGTAATTATAGCATTAACTATTATACTAGTCAGTCTATTGTCTCTCCTAGTGGGGGTCACATCTCCTATATGGGTGCTTATTATTACTACACTTATACACCTTACTGCTTGCCTGGTCTATGACTTTGACCACCCAGGTAATTATAGCATTAACTATTATACTAGTCAGTCTATTATCTCTCCTAGCAGGCGTCACATCTCCTATTTGGGTGCCTATCATTACTACACTTATACACCTTACTGCTTGCCTGGTCTATGACTTTGACCACCCAGGTAATTATAGCATTAACTATTATACTAGTTAGTCTATTGTCTCTCCTAGCAGGCGTCACATCTCCTATATGGGTGCTTATTATTACTACACTTATACACCTTAC